TCCGAACCCGGAGTATTGGTAAAGAAAATACCCAAAGGCCCCAAAGTAGTTCCTTTTTGAGACTACCCTATAGAACTCTATATACGAACCCCAAAAAAGAACTACTTTGGGAACTCATCTGAGCTCTTCTTCTTGAAGCCGGGACCCGCACAATGCAAATGTGGTTTAGGGTTTAGGGTTTTAGGGTTTAGGGTTTAGGGTTTAGTGGATTGAACAAGCTTCCTTCCCCCATACAGTGAAACATGTTGGCAAAATTGATCCTCTTGGACCTAGTAAGGCTGAGTCGTAAGTCTCCCAAAAGCCTACCAAGTGAGCCACCGGAGCCCAAAATCAGGCCGTTTTACCCTAAGGCTCAAAACAGCCTAAAAGCCTTATAAAGTAGGGTCTTTTGGCCCAAAAGCCTTAACATATGAGTCCTTAGAGCCTTAGGGTTACATTGTACCCCGAAGCTTGAACCGAGGCTTCAGACTTCAAAAGTTGAACATCCTACGCCCAGCCTGTCATACTTGGAGGTTCATGGGTAGTTATAAGTGGGGTCATAAGTGAGGTAGGAAACCATAATTCTAAGTCAGATTGGGTACTTATAATTCCACTTACAAGTACCCATGAACCTCCAAGTACCCCCCTTAGGGTTTAGGGGAGTAGGGCTTTAGGGTTTAAAGGTTTGGGCTTTTACGGCTGATTTGGGAGTTTCCGAAGTTGAGGGGTACCTTATTTTGGGGTCTTACAATACGGATCCTACTAGTTAGGGTACTATATTAGGGTCCACTAAAAACAAAGCTCCCATTTGGGGTATGAACGGTCTTGGGGTTTATCTGATCGGGAATTGAAGCCGAGCTTCTGGTACAGGCTGTTCGGAAGGTGCCATTGCGAGCTGCCTGTGGCCCTGCCATGCGAATTTTGAATACTTCCGGGTTCGAGTTTCGAGGACTCCTGTCGTCTCATGCAGGAACCTTGAAGGAATCCTTACAGGAAGCCTTAATGGAGCCCAATGGAGCTTTTTGGTGCAGGGAGCTTGTAAACATTTCAGGGCTTTTGCCAGGGGGTTAAGGTGGTAGTTTAGGGTTTAGGTGTTGACGGTTGGGATTTTAAGTTGGCAGATGGTGTGGAGAGCTAGTGCTGTGGGGTTTCTTCGGAGTGGATGAGTTTAGGGGTACCTTGTTTTTGGGTCCATATAGTACGGATCCTACTATCTTGGGTACTATATTAGGGTCCCCTATTTTCGGAAACTCCCATTGGGGGCTAAAACCCTAACCTGCAAACTCCGTTGAGACAGAAGTTCTGACGACCCCCGTCTCCTTGCGCTCTCGCATGGCCCCTCGACCTTATTACGACGTACAATTAATGTAGGGGCCTTAATAATCGACGAGTTGTAACTGATGACCTGAGACTGAGAAAAAGGGGTGTAGTGTAAAGGCCTTCAGTAATAGAGTAGAGTGCTGCAGGTGCTGTTGAGTATTTCCCCTAACAAGGAACCCAAAAGTGCTTACTTTCCAGGCTTCTACCCTAAACCCTAAACCCTAATACCCTAATACCCCAATACCCTATACCTAGCGACTCCCAGAGACTCACTGATTCCTTTAATTCCCGCGGGCTTCATCAAGGCTTTAGACGGAGCGGAATTCAAGAACCCTTTTTGGGTTCTCAGGCAGAGTTCATAAAGGTTTGTGAAGACAGAGTAATGCTATAGCCCGCCCATAAGTCAAGAGTCCAAGTTCAGAACAGCTAAAGGATTACACTTCTTCACAGAACTCTAGCATACCTATCGCAGCCTACACAAACCCTCACCCCAGAAGTTACAGGTCTGGAAAATCGAAACCCTGAGCCCTAAACCCCACCCAGGGTCAGTGGCCCGAAACCCTCCCAGCCGAAAGCACCCTAAACCCCAAAACCTAAACCCTATACAATAAAACCCTAAACCCTATACCCTAAACCCCACACCCTAAACCCTAAAACCTAAACCCTAAAAACGCAGAGGCAGGCCTGTTGTAGTAATAAACTCGGCCGTCCTCTTGCAACAGCCATGGGGCCAGTGATGGGAGGTTTGGGGTTTAGGATGGTTTAGGTTTAGGGCGTTGAGGGCTCAGAGTTCTTTGAATGTTTAGGGCTTGTAGTTTTTGGGTTTTAGGATTACTTGTTGATACAGTTTTCAGATTGCGCAAATGATACAAAGTTTCGCGGTTTCAGTACCAGTTCCCCAAGAGAATAACATTACCAGCTGGTTTCGTCAGGGCGGTGAATCGGCTGTCTCGGTGACCATTGCCCTTCTCAGGCATGAAACGTAGCCGTCAGCTTCTCAACCCTGGAGCCCTACCTGGACCCTAAGGAACCTACCTTTGTCGGGCCCTCTAATCTGATTTCTTTATATAAGTCCCTAACAAGGTAGGTTATTTGGGGTTAAGGTAAGCCCTAGAAGATCATATTGACAAAAGCTCCAAACTCCGTGATTTGATGCTATGCTTCTTGGCATCAGCAGTGAGGAGCTGTAACTGTATCACGGACGGACATGGCGGATGTGAAGCCAGGGTTTTGTGTCGGACGCGTGTGCATAAATCTACAGAGCTTTACTAACAGTCTCTTCTCCTGGAGGAGCAACGTGAGATTGCTTCTGGCTTTTTCATAATTTCAGTTTTCTTTTCAACCAAGATGGAACTCCTCTTGTTCAATCGTAGAAGCACATCAGTAACCAACACTGCGACTGTGACCCTACACTACAACCAAAGAGCACTTTGTCCAAAGAATCGACAAGGTGGAACTACCTTTCAAAATAACGACAAGCCTGTGTCAGCTCGCGTCCCCACACATCAGTCGTCGCAGCAAAACCAGTGCCTGGCTCTGCGTTTAAGGCTTTGGCTTCAGGTTCAAGAGTTCGGGACTGAATGAAGGAATCGGTTTGGTGGGAGGCGGGAAGATCAACATCAGCCTGTAAGCGAGAAGCTTAAGGCCTATCTTAGCAGGAGAGTTGGTTGGTCTGGAGCTATTCAGGGTTGAGGGTTTATGGCGCAGAGTTTACGGCTCAAGAACATTCTAAGACTTTGGCTGAAGGAACAGCCAGTTTAGCAACCCTAGGATTAGGGTTTAGGGTGTAGGGTTGGGTTCACGGTGTAGGGTTCCGGGACCTACGCGACACAAGACGTTGGGTTTACTGAGGACTTTAGAGGCTTAGGGTTCCTTATTAAAGTGAACCGCCAGATCAGACGACAAGAGGTTTCGTAGCTGAAGGACGGCATACCGGCGCACTTGAAGCGCTTAGCATGCAAGGGCACGCATGTGGAGGCTTGAGGCTCAATCTGCCCACAAGCCCAAAGGGTCCTATGTACTGTTATGGGGGATACTTCCCTGGATCAGAATAGTAGTTCCTGAAATAGAAGCCCTACATTCTACTCAGGTACATAGGACCCTTTAAAAAGCCCCAACACAAATAATTTGCTGCATGGGCCTCTGCCCATGTAGGCCGCATCGAGGGATTCTTCCATGGACAACATGGCTGCAAGATGTTACGGAGCTCCTTCCACTTATCTTATGCACGAAAAACCAGAACTGAATCTGACATCTACAAAGGCACATTTTTGAGAAGTGGTAAGGCAGCTCCATCCGACAGACTATGCATGACATCCTTCAACCTGACATGCGCCACCACATGCGCTTGGCTCCTAACGGCTTGGCTTGGACTACACGAGCAGTGATCGGCACAGGCAGCTACAGGTAAACACAAGCCAACCGTGCATAGAATCACAATTGACATCGAAATAGCGATTGGTGTGTTGACCAACCGCAGTATAGTTAAACACGGCCACAGCAGTGTCATCTGCAGCAGCAGTAGCAGTAGCAGTAGCAGTAGCAGTAGCAGTAGCAGTAGCAGTAGCAGTAGCAGTAGCAGTAGCAGTAGCAGTAGCAGTAGCAGTAGCAGTAGCAGTAGCGGCAGCAGTAGCAGTAGCAGTAGCAGTAGCAGTAGCAGTAGCAGTAGCAGTAGCAGTAGCAGTAGCAGTAGCAGTAGCAGTAGCAGTAGAAGTAGCAGCAGCAGCAGCAGCAGTAGCAGTAGCAGTAGCAGTAGCAGTAGCAGTAGCAGTAGCACTAGCACTAGCAGTAGTGGGGTGGTCGTGGTGGTGGTGGTAGTGGCAGAGGCAGTGGTAGTGGTGGCGGCAGGACATACACACCTCAAAGACACTCTGAGGAATTGAACACATCCCCCTCCCCCAAAACTAAGCCCCGCCGATGTAGAACCTTAAGTGGCGTGTCTCTGAAACCCTAAGGCTCTAAGGACTCGTATGCTAAGGCTTTTGGGCCCAAAGAACATACTATAAAAGGCTTTTGGGTTATTGGAAAGAGTGTAAGCCACCAATCCCCAGGGCCCTTAACTCCAAAATCCCCAATCCTCCATAAGGCGCATTCGAAGCAAACAACCCCCGAACAAACAACAGACCTGAAATTGTCCTTGTACATAAACTCTCTCTTCTTCAATAACGGAAGGCCCAAAAAGTTCAAACTTTCGAAGATAGACCAAATATATGAGGCCAAAAAGTTTATGAAGCTCTCCCACTGGCTTTCGAACAACTAGAATGATCCGAATAAGTTCACAGTTGACATATTGGAGAAGAGAATCTCCAGGGTGAAATCCCCAGACCCTAGCTAAGAACCCCAGGCCCTGATCTCGAAACCCTAAACGAGAACCCCCGGGGTTCAGGGGTTAAGGAGAAGGCTAGGATGCCCAGTAGTACCCTTATTCCCTTCTTGTAGTCCTAGGTTCCTTGTAAAGGTGTTCCCAGAGAACCCAATACCCTTAAGTAAGGAATATGCCTTAAACTATAGAGGCCCTAATATTAGGATTTAAGGTATATTCCTTAATTAATTATAGACCTTAAATAATAAGGCTTAATCTTATGATTTAAGGTATAATCCTTAATTAAGGGGTATTGGGTTCTCTGGGTCATGGGGATAACCCTGAACCCAAAACCCCGAAGGCGGAACGAATCCCTTAACCGTGTTCATGGGGATCACACGCAGGCACTCTGCCGATTTGGCTCTTCGAGCCACCAAGCGTGGTCGGAAGGTGCACTCGGCCACCTTTTTGGTGGCAGAAAGCTTTGGGATTTAGGGATCTTTAGGGCTTAGGGTCTAGCGTACGGGGTTTAGGGGTGTATAAGTTGGGCAGAAAGCTTGTGTTCCGATGATTTGCGTGTTCCAAGGAACATGCGAGTTCTTCTGGAACATGCGACTTCTTCTGGTCCAGTGTGAGTCGTTGCATTTGCGTCTTTGGGAATGATGAATTTCCATGATGCCAGACGCATTGCTGTCAACGCTATCCAATACATCAGCCTGCCTGATCCCCAAACCCTACACTTCAACCGTCTTTCTCTTGGCAGGACTATAAGGTGACTGTAACATTCCAGTATCCTATGGAATCCTATAGTTCATTATCGTACAATACAAACATACTTTACATCCTGAACCCTACTTGGAGGGTCGGGGAACTTAGTAACTGGTTATTTTAAGGACTTATAAGTACCATAACCCCAATTAGGGTCCCTTTTAGGGTACGTATAAGTCTACCTTCTTCCTACTTACTAAGTCCCCCGACTCCCCAAGTAAGCCCTGAGCGGTGTCGCAATGCATCATCCAGAAGCGACCCAGGCTGTCCCATAAACCCCTATAAACCCTAAACTCTTGAACCCAAGCCCATGCCCTAAAAAGCCTATGCCGCCACCTCCTGCGCCTGGCGAAGTTCGCGAAGCCCTTGCCTGCGCATTTCGGCCTGCATGGGAGGGCTTCAGGGCTTTGGGGGTTTAGAGCTAAGGGTTCCTTTAAAGGGGCTCTATTGGGGTTTATAGGGTTCCTTTAAAGGGATCTATGGGGGTTTAGGGGTTTAGGGGTTAGGCGTTTAGGGCTTAGGGTTTAGGGATCTATAAGCCCCCTGATGACAAAAACTCGTTCAGCGCCTGGTGGTGGCGCCAGTACATCATCTCCACGTGCGCCTTCGCGCCGGTGGGTGCCTCGTCTCTGCATGATCATACCCAAGTCCTTTAGCAATACTTGTTGCCATGATTGGTGATGTTGTTGATTGAAGCATTACTTATCCGTACTATTGCCGCCACCATAAGTGTCGATGCTGTTAATAGTATGATAGTTTTCATAATGCTACCACCTGTATCACGACTACTAACATTACTGTTACGATTGATTTCGAAGTGCTTTGACAATCGGGCCTCAGCTTCTCAGTTTGAGGTTCAGGCCCAATGCTGCTTTAAACTTCACGCTCAGGCTCAACGAGAAAGCTTTAACTACAAAACCATATGGACTTAGATACATGATGGTATATACATAATTATGAGGGGGGTTCTTGCAATTGCAGGCGTTGTAAATTCAGTTCATTGTGTCAGACCTCCATACTTGGAGGGTCAGGGACTTAGTAACTGGTTATTTTAGAGACTCATAAGTACCATAACCCCAACTTAGCTCTCGTTTAGGGTACCTATAAGTCTACTTACTAACTACTTGCTAAGTCCCCCGACCCCCCAAGTAGTGCCTCAGACAACCTACACCTAAACAGACCAGACCCAGAAGCCGAAGCTCTAGTACCCTAAACTCAAATTTATCATCTAATAATTTCCAAAAATAGGGGACCCTAATATAATACAGTACTCTAAATAGTAGGATCCTTACTGTAGGGACCCCAGAATAAGGTGCCCGGTACACCAATTTTCGGAAACTCCCATCTGTCTTGCTAGGGCTGAGCTATGCGGAGTTGCCTTCGCTTCTGCGAACTGACTTCCGACCAACTCCTGCAGCCAATGCGGGGTTTGGTGTTTTATATAGGGGTTAGAAAGGGGTTACGGGCAACTGAAAGTTCAACATTATTGGGGGAGGTTGACACCCGATTTCATTATTTGTTTTATGTGGCGGGTTCCTGAGTTTACATCGAGTAGATGGGCTGAGAGGTCACGGTAAATTTAAGAGTACTTAGAGGTTCATGGGACTTAGTAACTAGGGCTATAAATAAGGTAACTATACTTATGATTGGTTCTATCCCCAGTTAAGGTACCTCTAACTGTACTTGCTAAGTCGCATGAACCTTCAAGTAGGGAATTATAGCCACGAGTAACACGAAGCCGTGCCTTGCTTTCCCCGCGATCCTTGGACAAATTAAGCTGAGCACCCTAGCCCCCAAAAAGGTTAACCTTCTGAATTACAGTACAAGCCCCAAACGGTTAAAGAGTACCTACTAAGCTCCTATGTCTGTCAGTATGATACGGACATCTCATATACAAACTGCGAAGGTTCGTGACCTTGGTCTATGGCTCCAACATCTCATACCCACGAAAAAAGCCTCGTATGCCACTGAATTTAGGGGTAAGGTTTGGGGGTAATTACATATACTGTAGTATACCTGTCATTGTAAGAAGGAGCCGCAAGGAGTACTATTGGTAAGTTATTTCGACCCCTGTAATCTGGTACCCAGTTCTTGAATAATATTGCATCCGATGCTCAGCATCCTGAAACCCGAATTTTTCGTAAAGGGATGCTGGTTCCCCGACTGCTTAAGCCAATACTACGTGCAGGCTCATACCCAACCCCTTTTTTTAGGATACCTACAGTTCTATGGTTAGGATCTGTTATATAGAATATTAGGTACCTTAAAAAAGGGTAAGGTATGAAGGTTTGCGAAGCTCTGGTTCCCCTGAAAGGTCTCTGGTCGGCCCCTGGTCTGCCCTGCCCTGCCCCGGCCATGTACATGATACGTGGGTACACCCTTCCCTAAGGGTCCATGTACCCGTATAGAGATACATGAGCCCCAAAGTACTATATAGGGACTACATTAAGGTCGAGGGCTTATGAAAAAAGGATCCTAAAAGGTACCCCAATTTGGAGAACTGCCCACGTGATGTACGGTCGGAAGGTCAGATTCAAAAATGAGTCGTCGAGTCTGTAGAACCCTCTTCGATTCCAGTTGCCTGCTTTTATGCTTCGGCTGGGGCGATCTCGAGCGTAGTCCATCCGATTCCGTGCGCAGGACGCAAGAGCCCAGAATCTGCGATGAGCAGAGAATGGAAACCAGGCTCGAAAGGCCAATGTCTACAGAGCTAGGTCTGCCATCCTTAAGAGAGCGTCATCAGTGACGTCGTCATTCGTCGTCGCTGCATCGTTGGAGCCTGGGGCCAGCGAGGACTCCGAACACTTCACCTTCAGTTTTTTAGTCCGACGATAAAAGGAGGGACCCTTAATAAGGACCCCTAGGTATATACCCTTAATATAAACCCATAATATAGCCCATTATAGGGTAGAGGTCCCCATTTAAGGGTCCCTCCTTTTCGCCTTTGATTTTGAACCCCTTTTTCCACCAGCCGGCACTCCCGCCAGTAAAAGACCGCATAGGTCAGGGGTCGGCAGCAAGGCCGAACACAAGGCACACCTTCAGGGTTTAGGGGTTAGACGCTTAGGACTTTGACCCTAGCATGATGTCAATCTCTGGTGCTAACTCTAGTCAGATCGCAAGTGGACAAGAATCGGAAGAAAATAGGAATCCTGGTTTTTTCGGAAATACAAATAAAATAAGAAAACCAATAGGAGAGAAACAGGATCTGCCCGCACTCCCCGCACCACTTTCCACCCTGCGGCCCTGTGTGATTTTCCTATCTTCCCAATGGTTTTTCATACATTTCCTATTTTGTCCTAGTTCATTCCTAGTTTTCTCCTATTCTTCTCCTATGTGTGTATTATTTGTTCTCCTATGTTATTCCTATGTTTCTCCTATTGTTTCTTACTTTCCTATTTTTCCGTATCTCTGTCCTATGTCCTATAAACCCTTAGGACCTATGTATTTCCTAGTTTTCTCCTATTTCTGGAAATCATGGTTTCTCTAGCCCGAGATTGACAAACCCTAGCACTAACGGTTTAGGTCTTGAGTTTATGCATGGCATTTAAGATTTTGGCTTTTGGGGGATCAACGCTCCTCAACCAATGTCTGCAATCGATGCATTTACCCAAAGGCCTCAAAGGAGTTCCTTTTAGGGGTTCGTATATAGAATCCTATAAGGCAATCCCAAAAAGGAACTACTATGGGGCCTCTGGGTAGAGGCTGTGATGGTTGAGATAGAACACGTGCCGGGGCTCTACAGGGCCTACTTGGAGGGTCGGGGGACTTAGTAAGTAGTTAGTAAGTAGACTTATAAGTACCCTAAAGGGACCCTAATTGGGGTTATGGTACTTATAAGTCCCGAAAATAACCAGTTACTAAGTCCCCCGACCCTCCAAATACTTTTCTTGGGTTAAAACCCCGGCTTATGTATCATGCTCCCAATCGAAAGCCCGACCTGTAGCCGAAAAGACCTCTTTGTTAAAGGAACTATGCACAGAAACCATAATACGGTCTAGGGTTTAGCGTTTAGGGTTTAGGATTTAGGGTTTAGGGTAGGTCTTTTCGGCTACGGATAGAGATATAAGTTTAAAGGACTTCCGCGCTTAGGCGGCGTAGGGCTTGGAGTGCTGCCAGACCACCATCATGCTAGACCCTAAACCCTAAACCCTAAGTCCTAAACTTTAAAGCCTAAATCCCTAATTTAAGCCTAAATCCTAAACCCTAAATCCTAAACCCTAAAGCCTAAATCCCTAAAGCCTAAACCCTAAGTCCTAAACAAATCCTAAACCCTAAAGCCTAAATCCTAAACCCCAAAGTCCTCGTTCTTTCGGGCCTCTCGATCGATCTCCTCCTTCGGTGTCGGGCTTTCGGCTTGGGGGGTTTAACCAGGATTTAGGGTTTAGGGTGTAGGGTTTAAGGTTTAGGGTTTCGGGTTTAAGGTTTAGGGTTTAAGGTTTAGGGTCTAGGGTTGAGGATTTAGGGTTTGGAGACCTCAATCTTTCTGGAACCTGCTTATAATCAAGGGACGCGGATGTAGGCCCAAGATAGACGAATCCTCACTATACAAATCCCCAAAGTGGACCCTAAGCTGAAGAAGCCCCGATGTCTTGAAGTGGGAAACGGAATTGTGCCGGGATGATGGCAAAGGGTTTAGGGCCACCCGAGCCTAAGCGAAAGCAACCCCACACCGGCTCCCGCCAGGCCGTTCGAGGAATTCTGCTGCCCCAAAAACTTTAATCAAAGGGGAAAAGGAGGGACCCTTAATAGGGACCCTTACCCTATATTGTGCTAATAATTAATGGGTATATAATAGCTATATTAAGGGTATATACCAACGGGTCCTTATTAAGGGTCCTTCCTGTTCCCCTTTGATTTAAGGTTGCCAGGAGACGAGCTCAACTGCCTAGCCTCAACCCCATGCAACGCCCCAACTTCCAACAGAGTCCAGTGCCTACTTGGGGGGTCGGGGGACTTAGTAAGTAGTTAGGAAGTAGACTTATAAGTACCCTAAAAGGGAGAGCCTAATTGGTGATATGGTACTTGTAAGTCCCCAAAATAACACCAGTTACTAAGTCCTCTAAACCCTAAACCCTAAACCCTTACAGAATCCCTATAGATCCCTTTAAAGGGGCCCCTAAGGAACCCATTATGTTACTAAGTCCTCTAAAGACCCTCCAAGTACACACCAGAGCAGCCGTGTTGTAGGCAGCTCCTGTACTGGAACTGACCTCATCACTCTGGCTCTGCAGAACCTGGACAGGCTTCTTCTGCAGCCATGTGCCGACGGACGGCTTGTGTTTGAAGGGAGGTGTCTGGACAACTGCCTTCTTGGCCCCAATGTGCTGGTCAATATTTGGTGCACATGTCACCTTCCTGTGAAAATGTCCGACTGCGAGCTCCAGAATCCTGCCAATAACCTTCATCACAAGCAATATCGGCAGTCTGGCCTTCACAACTTTGCGCCCTGTGCTTCCTGGAGGAACCCATCCAGATGAGAGATCACTCGGTTGCGCACAGCCAGAAAATCCCAATACCCCTTAACTAAGGACAATACCTTGATGCCTTAAATCATAACATTGAGGCCCTATAATTTAAGGTATATTCCTTAATTCCCTTATAGAACCTTTATAGATCCCTTTTAAGGATCCCTTTAAGGAACCCTTTAAGGAACCGTGGCTTCTCTGGGCAGAGGCCAGTCTCCCCTCCCCGAACCTTACCCAAACAACCCAATACCCCGTAATTAAGGAATATACCTTAAATTATAGAGGCCTTAATACTATGATGTACGAGATATTCCTTAATTAAGGGGCATCGGGATCTCTGGGTAGTGAATATGAAGCGCCAAAGCAAGAGATTCCCTGGGTTGTAGTTTTTGGGCCCCGGAAGAGGATTTATGAGTAGCTACCTCTACAGGATCAGAATTTCAAGGCAGATTACAAAGTTTACCAAAGTGCCACTAAACTTTACACCCTAGTTCTGGCAAGAAGGCTTCAACGGAACCTACGAGCACGACATCACATAGACGTAAACCCCACACCGCTACCTGAAAATAGAACCCTAAATCCTAAACGTGAATGCGTACACCCTAAGCCTTAAACCAGGAGTAAACAAAGCTATCAATCCTAAACTTAAAGCCTGCAGATAAAATCCAGTGGAGTCTGACTCACTCTGCACCTCATAACGAATGAGCCTTACACCTGCACTGTCACCCACATCCCCCACACTCCTCCCTCCGCCACCAACATATTACAGAAAGTGCAAGTAACCACACAAGCCCTAACCCTAACCCTAAACCCTAAGCAAGAAACCCTATGGAGCCCTGTAGCCGACCAAAAATCTAGGCTTGGGCATAGGTCCCGAAACCCTTAAAATTCCAAATATCACCGAATCGTACCTTAAAACCTGAACTCCGAGAGCCCTCGACTTGAAAACCGAAGCTTTAAGCCTGACCCCCCAAACCCATCCTGCATCTTCCGTGTGAAGCGCTGAGCCATTTTTCGGCTCGTAGCCGTGAGGGGTGGGGACGACGGGCCCTGCGGAGGTCTTGTCATGACGGATTTGGATTTATGCTTAGGGTTTAGGGTTTAGGGTTTAGGGGTTTAGGGTTGCTTGCCCTTGAGGGTTGGGCTTTTGGGATGTTTCTAAGTTTCGCTTCGGGGAAAATCCTAAAACCCAAACCCGATGCCCTCTGTGAGGGTCTGGACTCAGGGTCTAAGTTTTATGACTGCCGAGCTTCCCTACCATAGAGGCCTGGCTGACACTACTAGAGTTTGGGGAGTGCTACTCTCCGATGTCCATTGAAAGAACCCTGAGGAATAGTATCTAGTTGGGGCTTTTGAAGCTTTTGAGAATATTCGTACATAAGATCCTCTTATGCCCAATAATGGGAAATTTAAAGCGTCCCAAAGTCCTGCCTAGTATGGTACTAAATCAGAGTTCAGAGCCCTAGATTGCAGAGGCGAGGCTTGGCCTCGCGGGCTCTCGGCAGGGGACTCCCGGAGTTTCAGCTGCCGGGGAGAGCAGTACCCCCTATGAAAGGATGTGCCACGAAGTATATGTGTGTATATAAACACACATATAGTTATACATTATATATATATATGTAAATGTATATGTATGTATGTATATATATATATATATGTATACAGATGCATGCATATATATATATATATACACACACACACATATTTCTAGGTATAAACACAAAGGGAATAACAACTATATGCACACACACACACAGAGTCCTTAGTGCTATGGTTTTGGGAATTGCTGAGTCCATAGTTTCGGGCAGGAACCATAGCATAGTCTTCTGTACTAGATTACTAGACGTACGCAAGAGACCTGATGCCTTGGCTGCTTCCTGCTTGTGTAACACACGAGACGGCAGTGACAAATGCCCCATTCCGGTGTTGATAACACCCAATCCCCAACAGCTCCCAAGCCCTATACCCCTTACGCCCATACAGCCGCAAGAAGGATCTTCTTGTTTGAGAGATGTTGCAAATTTGGGGGTTTGTTCCTTTGACTTCTTAAACCCCCCCCAAACCCTAAAAACCTTCGTCTGCCTTGCCTCTATGAACTTCAACCATTGAAAGGCCCAAAAACCCAAGACCCTGAACCCCTAAACCGGAACCCTAAACCTAAACTTCGAAAGCCTTACATGCCCAAGAACCTAAACCGTAGGAGCACCTTTGCTAGCTCCTGTGGGCGGGCCATAGCCGCGTAGTGCATGCGATCGCGGTAGAGCCTGAGCACGCAGCTTCTGGTCAAGTTCGTATTATCAGCTCGTAGAAACGCATACGATGTACCACAAAAACCCTATTGTGGTACTGTTAGGCAGCAGTGTCGGGTTCATAAAGTCAGAGTCTACGGGTTTGGCTTTCGTGTAGAGCTCAACAACCACGACACTTGGCGTGCTGTATAGCTGACCGCACAGCTGCGTGGCCTGAAAAGCCTCCAGAGAGTGTGGAGAGTCCCATGGGCCTTTTGTTTAGGGTTTGGGGTGCGCAAATCAAGCCTCATCTGCAGAAGGAGGCACCCAACCACCCAATCACGCAAGACCTAACCCCCAAACCCTAAGGCCCTAAGAGCCTCAACCCCTAAACCGTTAAACCCTAAACCGTTAAACTCTGAGAACCTAAACTGTCGGGGAACCAGGCAAGGGCAACTTCCCTGCACAGGGAGATCTGAGTGGCAGAAATCCACATCTCATGCTAACTGGGGTCTTAAAAATCCCAAAGGCTCCATGTACCCATATAGTAGGTACCTACTTTTGGGCACATGGAGTCTTTAGGGAAGGAGTAGAACAGAGCTACCTTAAAGGTTCCATAAGGGATTCAGTCGGTGTAAGGTTTAGGGTCCCGAAATACACATTACCCCTGAATTAAGGAATGTACCTTCAATTATAGGGGCCTTGATATTATGATTTAAGGTATAGTCCTTACTCAAGGGGTATTCGGTTCATTAGGCAAATGAGTAGACTGAGGTTCCCTCTGAAAGCTTCCATAAAGGGATTCAGGGTTACAGTACAGGGGCCTTGATGCCTATGATTAGACCAGGACTTTGGGGTATGGTATACGTATGTTGAGGAGCCCTAATGACAAAACAGCAACAGCGGCTGAGGAGCAAGGTAGACAGAGTATCCCCGCATCCTACTATTTGCTACTTTAGCAAGGAGGCTCCGTGCAAAAGCACCCTAAACTCCAAACCGTAAGCAGTTCCAACCCCCAAAACCCACCAGAGCCGCAGGATAAATTGAGCCAGGTCCCTAGAAAAGCTGGAGCACCCCAACCTGTGCCTCAAACTGTCTCACAGAAAAGGCTCCTTTCCAGCATTTAATAAAGGTGCTATAAAGGGTTTTCCTATCATTAAAAAACATCTACCTGTGGCCCCACATGTCCCCAAAAGGTGGCCTTCGCAATTAGAATCGCGCTCCTTTAAGGGTTCCTTGAACGCCTTTAAAGAAATTCGGCTTCCCCTGTATTTTCTAGAGTATTCAGAATAAGGAACCCCAAATAATATAGTATCAGTAGGTTTTTCAGACGTAATATCACGGCTTGCCAGCGCTATCCCTCAACCCTGAACCAGTCATTTTGTTGTGACTGGATCAAAACCCACCCCTAAGGGTCCAAGTACCCAATCATCATATACTCTCAACAATAGTAACTCCTATCCCGAACCCGAATATCCTATTATTGGATCCTTTGGACCCCTAGGATACTACCTGGTAAGGTTTGGGGACATAGGTACAGCCTCGACGCAGAAGGCTCAGCCCCTTATGCTTAAGGTGGTCTTTGTGGAACGACCTAATGTAGGAACCTGACTAAGAAACCGTGGGTCTTCATTGGGGTTCCTTATATGAATCCTACTAGATTGGGGGTTATAGGACCAGGGTTTCATTATGCCAGACACTAAATTTACTAAACTACCTCTACAAGCTAAGCAGCCGACACCCCATCCAAAAGAACGCCAACACGCCTAACCACCCAAAACCACCCGTAAACTCCAAGCCATTATTCTCCCAACACCGACGATCCTTACTGAGAGCCGCACTGAGTGAACTCAGCTCGCAGCTGCTTTGGATTGAAGCGCATGAGGAGCTCACCTTGTTCTACAAAAGGACCGGCTGAGGGTTCAGCGGTTTAGGGTTTCGGATGTAGAGCCGACACCCTGACCCCCAACACCACGAAGCTTGAAGCTTTAAAGAGTCAGATCTGCGGTGGCAGCTTCTTCCAATCCCTACGGTCCAGGAGTGTTCTAGTATTATAATCAGATGAGGTTCCGTTAAGGGCTATACAAAGGCCTGGTCTGGGGTAGCAGCACCCTGAAGCATCATGGCTTGGTATGGCCCGCAATCGAGAGGAAGCCCAAATCCGTGGCCAAACTGGTGAGAAGCAGGACTGTGACATGTCCGTCTGGTATTCTTCTTAAGTTGTCTTAAGGCTGCCCTCATCTTCTCGGGGAAAAACCATCCAGACGGACTCGGATTGGCGTGTGGGGTGGCCCCAGCATTGTTGCAATCGAAACTCCTGTGTCAAGCCTTCGTTCAGGTTGTGGGGTCCATAGCAAGGGGTCCATTCTCCTCTGGGAGGGTCAGTTTGAAGCGATCGTAGTGCTATAGTTATAGAGGTGTTGGATACGACTTGCTGCTCAAAGATTTAAGTATTCTGTTCAATTTGAGCCCCACGTGTACGCATACGAGAGGCCCTTTCCATGCAAGTAGTGACCTGAGATTTAGGTAGCTCATAGGGATCCTTAGGGGTGTAGGGGGGAGGGGTGTAGGGGACTATATTTCCTTAAATAGGCCTTATTAGTCCTTATTATGGGCCTTAAGGCCCCCTACCCCCCTCCCCATACACCCCTAAGGATCCCTATGAGTAGCTGCAAGGCCACGCACAAAAAAAGAAGAACACCATGAGCCCACGCACCCGAACCGTTGCTTGGGCGAGTTTCGCGTTAAAGCGGCCCTAACCCCTCAACCATACTGTATAGGGGTTTAATGACTACGTATGCTATTTTGGGGGGTTCCCCAAAACCCTGTTCTAATTATTACGGCCCCTATATTACAAAACTCTAATAAATTAAACCTTAACTCTAAAACCCACCCGGCATGCTTTTCGTCGAGACGCAGATCCGCGACCCCTGAGGGTCTGCAGCCGCTGCTGCTGCGGCCGCTGCTGCGGCGGCCTGGAGGAGGCCGTGTGTCGCTTTTCTTCTTACCCAGAGGCCCCATAGTAGTTCCTTTTTGGGAATACCTTGTAGGATTCTATATGTATACGAATCCCAAAAAAGAACTACTTTGGGGCCTTTGGGTATACTAGCCTAAAAACTGTAAGAACAATGTCAGTTAATACTACTCCTACGATTGTTGCTATTACAATACAATAACTGTAATGGTGATAATGCAAACCCGAATATGAGTGATTAAGACCATCGGTTCAGGGCTTGGGGTCTTCTGGCTTCTGGTTTTCGAACCTTGCAGCACACGTGTTCAACCCAAGTTAAGGTCCAAACTCGCGCCCATTTTTGATGAAGCTCATGCTTAGATCCCAACCCGTATCCACAAAGCCCAAACCCTCCCAGAAAGCCGGAGACTGTCTTAGCCGCAGAAACACACCATGAAGCAACATGTAAACCCCTACAAGACACCCTCTAACTCCTTACAGACACCAAAACACACCACACCGTACAAATATCCACAGCATCCTATAGCCCATAGGCCCTAAACCTCATTCAAGCAAGCCCTCAGTGATCATCGCCCTGAACCTGAATACGTGTACTACGGGTTTAGGGTGTGGGGTTTGGGCCCCCAAACTTTGAACATCCCTCAAAGGTGCCTCTGGATAAATATCATGTGGCATGGAGCTCCCCCGAAAAGGCATGGTGAACCCTAAACCCTACGTGTAAACCCTTGAATGCCGCATGGAACTCACCGCCAAAAAAGTCCGCACTCTGAACTCTAGGTTCAAGGCGTAGGGCCGAGGTTTGAGGAATTCGATGCCTTCAATATGGGAGCTTCCGAAAATTGGGGGGTAAATTATTTCGGGGTCCTTAGATCCCACTATTTAGAGTACTAAATTAGGGTCCCCTCTTTTCGGAAACTCCAATATCCAGGCAAACTGCTATACGGCTTGCGCTTTGCGTAGATGGTTTAACGGGTTTATAGGCTTCGGTTTTACGGGTCAAAGGGCTCAGAATTTTCGGACTTGCGGTTCGGGGTGTAGGGTTCAGGGGGCTGGTTGGTACCGCTGGAACATAAGTTTAAGCCTGTTTTAATGTTTGGACAGTTCTGGTTTCATATTTTCCAGACTCGAAACTCCAAACCAAGTACTTCGGGTCATGGTATATGCTATATGGGCACTAGGACCCCACGGCGATTTGGCGAATCCCAGCCGCAGGCCACGCCAACAGAGAAACTCCACATGGCTGCCGACTTCACGCAGATGTGCAGGCCGCGGAAAGGGACTCTGCTCAGACGAAGCTGCTGGAAATGAGAATGCGCATAGCTTCTCCGTGTATTGGCGTGTAAGACCCACGCCATGGCTCTTGCGGACCACTGCGGCACTGACCTGTGCGGCTTCGCGGCTTGAAGTTTTTTCTTCCTTGAAGACGGCTCCGCGCCGTGCGGATGCGGCTTGAATGGCTTGAGCCTCTCAATGTTTCGCCATGTAAGAAGAAGGTGTAAGAGGAGCGAGCCTAGCAGCAAGGTCGAGTGCTGCACATCCACTCCCCGCTTCAGCAGGTCTTCCGCCCGCTCGTGGAACCGGCGTAGGGGCGCCGTGTGTCCAAACGCTCATTTATCCCATGTCCGAACGAAGTCTGAATGAATTAATGGCAATCGCATCGCCTTGTAGTCGCTCTAGTTGAGCCCCCCATCCCCTGCATGAAACCGTGCAAACTCCTAACAACACTCCTGCAAGATCCTTTGAAACCTTCTTACATTCATTTATATGTTATTCATTCTTCTGCATTCGTCGGCCTCTGAAGCTCGATGTTGCATCGGGGTTACGGCAGCGATGAGCTCGTCAAAGCCCTCGGGTTAGGGGTTAAGCGGGGTTAGCGTCGGTTAGAGATTGCGAATCGGATTTAAGGCATCGGGTTTAGAATTAAGCCCCCAAGCCCGAAACCAAAAGGGCTGGGTAGGGCCCCCAAAAGGACATAAGCATAAGCATATGACAAGGCTATCCCTGCCGTATTGGGCTTCATTATCACACGGCTTATACCCAGAAATCCCAATACCCTTTAATTGAGGGATATATACCTTAAATTATAATGGGATCCCTAATCTGATTTAAGGTATATTCCTGAATTAAGGGTTCTCTGGGTACGGAAAATCCCTATCCTGATTTCTGCTTAGGTGCCTTTTCGAGGCCCTGGGATGCGAAATTCTACCAAGCCCTAAGCCCTTAACAGTTCCTTAACCCTAAACACTAATTAGTACACCCTAAACCCTTATAAACTTTAAACCCTAACTGCTAAACCGTAAGCCTTGGGATTCGGGTTTAGGGTTTAGGGACTTGGTTTGGAGGACCAAAACGGAGCGCTGGAGGTCCTCAGGTGAGGAGGGTGTGGCCGAGGTTTCAAGCCCTCCGGCTCCAAGGGAAGGCTTGCCAGAACTAGGGTGTAAAGTTTAGTGGCACTTTGGTAAACTTTGGAATCTGCCTTAAAATTCTGGTCCTGTAGAGGTAGCTTCTCACGAATCCTCTTCGGGGCCTACCACCCAGAGAATCTCTTGCTTTGGCGCTTCATATTCACTACCCAGAGATCCCAATACCCCTTAATTAAGCAATATATCTTAAATCACAGTATTAAGGCCTCTATAATTTAAGGTACATTCCTTAATTAAGGGGTAATCGGTTCTCTGGGGAGAAAGCCCGTGGGTTGAGGGTTAGGGTTTGCAGGGTCTAGGGCTGTTTGGGGTCTAGGGCTTCGGTCAACCCACACCATCCCAAACCTCTACTTGGTCGGGGGACTTACTAAGTAGTTGGTAAGAACTTGTAAGTACCTTAAAAGGGACCCTAATTGGGGTTCAGGTACTTATACGTCCCGAAAATAACCAGTTACTAAGTCCCCCGACCCTTCAAGTAGGGTTTAGGGTTCAGGGTCACGTTCAGGGTGTTCCGGATCGAGGGTTCAGGTTTTGGGGATTTAAGCCTTACAGCTTTAAGGCTACCCAGTTTAGGGATTGGGGAGTGTAGGGTTTCGGGCTTAGGATTTACAAGTAGCGTTTTGAGGGGAGGTTTTCGTGGACGTCGGTGGAATCTGGCGGCGTGCTGGCGGTTCGTCTGCACCGGCTGCTCAAACTGCCGCTAGTATGCGACGAGCAAAATTCAAGTTTTAGGTCATCTCTACTTGAAGGATCAAGGGCCTTCGTGAGCGAGATATGGCTCGAGACATAAGCTGGGTAGCCAGTTTTCGTAGCTCTTATTCGGATTCCTTTCAAAGGGGTCCAGTTGAATCCAGACCAGAACCTTTCATATCTAGGGCTTCTGTTGACGGAAGCTGATTGTAGGAATCCTTCCCATAAGCCTCCCTACTTCGGGGAATCCGAACGTAGAACAAGCCCCCGACGCGCGATCATTGATTTGTGTGGTTGTCAAATTTAGGGTCCCTTTTTGGGTACCTTAAATTTTAGGCGCCGTATTATCTTAAGGACACAAGAAGGGACCATAAATTTGACAACCACCCATGAGTGGGGGCGGCAGCCTCTTCATTGATGGAGGAGAGCTCGCTTCTTCGCACCTGACATCGAACCCAGAACCCTCAACCCAAACCTCAAAACAGAACCAGCAACGACAAGCAGTTCTACACCACAAAGCGCTGAACCTCAAAAGAAGCAACACACGTGCAGTGAAACCCAGAAAGTTGGAACACAGATCTAGAATGATTGGTGCTAGGATTCATGAAATGCTATACCTTACGGGCATCGGGATAGTAATGTTCCAACTTTCTGGCTTCTCCTTTACGGTATACTACACCTTAAGCGCTTGGGGATAGTTATGCTCCAACTTTCTCTAGGGTGCCCAGGAACCTAGGAATAAACAGGCTCCCTTTTTGGTATAGGGAAACTTTTGGGGAACCTGGGACTACAAAAAGGGAATAAGGGCAGTTAAAGGAACACTGAAAGGGAACCCCATTGTAGAACCCTGCAGAAGCCTTTGAGGGAAACCCTGTTTCACAAGTAGACCCCTCTAGATTTGGAGGGAAACTGCACACTCAGATTTAATGACTTCTACCCCTAAACCCCAACCTTAAAGCCTAAACCCTACACGGGTGGTTGTCAAAATTAGGGTCCCTTTCTGGGTCCCGCACCTAATATAAAAAGGGACCCTAATTTTGACAACCACCCACACAAACCCCTACCCTAAACCTTTACTTTACTGCTTCCCAACCCCTGGCAGGCGCCTCTGGCGACGCCCGGCCTGGGTCCGATTGTCTGCAAGATGCTTCAGGCTTTGGGATCAGGGCTTGGGGTTCATTTAGGGTTTAGGGTTCAGTAGGCTTTTAGAGTTTTAGGGCTTAGGGTTTAGGGTTTTCGGGTTTAGGGTTTTAGGGTTTTAGGATTTTAGGATTTAGGGTTCAGGGTTCGGGGCTTCGGGAGTCTAGGATTTAGGGTTCGGGGTTTGGGGAGTTTAGGGTTGGTTTAGGGCTGGGGCTTCTGTTAGCATTAAAGCCAGTCATCCAAGCCCTACTTCATGTTATCAAGCTTATCGGGGGGTTTCAGGATTAGTAGACTAGCTTTGCTGGGCACTGCCCAGAGGCCCCAAAGTAGTTCCTCGGCAGTGCTTCTCCGAGTGCATCTTGCCTATGAGGCAATTGCAACTGATAATCCGAGATTTTGGTCGTATGACACATGCTGCAGAGGCCTGTCAGGGTCCCTTCAAAATGCAAGGGCTTCTCCAAACATCCGCCCGGGAGTCCTCGCAAAGCCAACAGGGTTGATGCCCCAAGGCATAACTTGCGGCGGCTCGGCCAGTGTGGAAGATGGCGCCTGTTCTAGGTTTCCAAGCAGAGCAACAAATCAACACTTGACAGTCAGGCAGACACATATCTACATGTATGTGTACAGGCTACAACGCCTGTGGAAGTAGCACAAACAAAGAAATAACTGCGTTGTAGTAGTTCCTTTTTGGGATTACCCTATAGGATTCTATATATGAACCCCCAAAAAGGGAACTACTTTGGGGCCTTTGGGTAGGCTGGCGTTTTATGTATAGCCTCTCCAGCACCTCTGTCGGTCGAGGGGTTCCTGAAGCCCATCCCTCTAGGGTTTACTGTAGGGTTTAAGGGTTGAGGGTTTAGGGTTTAGGGGTTTAGGGTTTAGGGGTTGAGGGTTTAGAGTTTAGGGGTTGAGGGTTTAGGGTTTAGGGGTTGAGGGTTTAGGGGTTGAGGGTTAGGGTTTCAATTATACAAAGAGCATATAGCTACTTTGGAGTCTAGGGTCTGTAAATAGTTCCTAATTTGGAGTTTAAGGTCTGTAGATACTATACTGAACTTAGAACCCTAGCAACAATTATAGTTTTAGCTGTTTCTTAGGGGTTATAAAAACAAAAAATTAAAAAGTATTTCTAAGTACCCCTAAGGATAATGCCTACTTAGGAGTCAAAGGTCTGTGAACAGCACCGACTTTGGACCATTTGGAGCCTCAGGGTATACACTCCACATGGGAGTTTCCGAAAATAGGGGGGCCCTCAGAGAGTACCCAATCCTAGGATCCCTAGTATAAGGAGCCCAAGATAAGGTACCCCTATTTTTGGAAACTTCCACACTTCTGAGCCCTCAGTGTTCGCCGTATTTGGACACGGCGAGGCATTGTAGACTGCAGTGGACTCGGAGTGTGTCCTCTCCTGCAGAAATCGCTTTGGCTCCTCATCTTTCGTTCAGGGTTTAGGGGTGAGTTAGGACTTGGTCTTGAGGCCTTAGGATTTGCCGCTGCCGTGCGGCACGAAACCCATAGAAAGGACTTAGACATGTGTGCACGGCTGCATTGCAGGCTGATTTAACTCAGTGTCAGAGTTTAGGGTTTAGGGGAACTTTAACAGCAATAATAGTTGAACCCAGATTGAACAAATTAAACTTCATCTGTGTTGCTCAGTGGAGAGTCCCCAAGCCAAAGAAATCTTAACGAGTTATTGTAATACAGTTCTATATACCCCTATACAATCCAAAACCCACAACAGGTTCAAGGCTGCGTACCACGCCGTGCCCTCGGTACTGGGATGATGTGGGGAACCGTAACCGCCTCGAACTGCTCGCTACCTTTAGGGAATTGAACCCCTGGGTTGGGCCTTCCACAGCTGAACCGCAAAAACAAAAAAGCTAACTGGAGCAGGGCTTTGGCCTCTACTGCTTGATCTAGCTCAAGCCCTTAAACTTGAAGGCCGAGGTAAGTGTGCAGAAAGTCTTTATACTGACTGTAGAGACTACGGCTTCGAGCATATAACTCCCCTAGTTTACAGAAACCTAATCCTGCCTGGAGGATGCTGCTGGCTGAGCTAACAGCTCCGGCTTTATGGCTTGGGATTTAGAGTTCAGGGTCGAAGGGTTTGGAGGCGTAAGGGTTGAAGGGTTAAGGCTTCAGCAGTTTACTTGGAGGGTCGGGGGACGTCGTAACTGGTTATTTTAGGGACTTATAAGTACCATAACCCCAATTAGGCTCCCTTTTCGGGTACTTGTAAGTCTACTTACTGAATACTTACTAAGTCCCCCGACCCCCCAAGTAGTAAACCTGAGTGCGAGGCCCTTCGTCGCAGAAGGCACCTGGACTCCACACGGTTTCCGGGCGGAACAGAACAATCTTCTGGAACCCTCTCAAGTACTCCAAAACCCCTTAACTAAGCAAATACAGAAATACCCGCACACAGATTAGGATTCCGACCCGCAGACTGCAAAAGCCGTTAATTCAGGAATGTATTCCTTAAGCTCGAACAGGGACCCTGATAGGACTTAACAACATAATTAAGGAGTTTTGGAGTCTCTGGGTTGATGTCGGTCTGCAAGCCTTTCGGGCCAGTTTTGGGTTTAGGACTTGGGGTGCTTATGAGATCCAGAAAACCCTCAACACCGACCCCCCGCAGCCTCAACTCCTGACCCTCTTCCCTTAAAGCTGAACCGAAACCCCTAAAGCCGAACACCCAGAACCAAAGCCACAAAAAAACCAAAAGCCCTAAACCCTAAACTGCCTCGGCGATCTGGGAGAGGTTGTGAAGACACTGCGCCTCCTGTCGGGATCAGAAGACCCTGCTCGAGGCTCGGTGGTTTTCTGCATATCTGGGGTCAATGTAGGGTTACAGGTGTAGGATTTAGGGTCTAAGGTGGAGGATTTAGGGTTTAAGGTTTAGGATGTATAGGGTTTAAGGCTAAGGTTTAGGGTTTTTTTTTTGAACACCTTTTTCCATACTGCAGTACAGCAAGGTTTAGGGTTTAAGGTTTGGGGTTTAGGGTGAGGGGTTTTTGCAAGATTCTCGAAAAGTCCTTCAGAGGGTCTTATGTAGGGGGCTTCAAAGGGTTGTGGGGTTTTGGGTTGCAAGATCTCATCCAGAAAGGTGTAGGATTTGGGGTCGAGTGTTTAGGGTTTAAGAACGGCGTGCTAGAGGGCTTTGTAAAGGGTGTTTGAGGGGTTAATGAGCTCTTAACATGTTCTTGAAAAGGAAAAGGTTGTAGCACTGCTTCACGAGGGCTCTACACCGGCTTCTAGAAAAGGAAGGCCATTTCTGGCGTATTGCCTGACTCAAAGTCTACCTTTTGTCAGGGCTTTGTAACATGGTCCCCTGTTTCGACCGTAGTACATCGTACGAGGTCGGGTTATGGAGCCGTTGTAAACGTCACAACCATGAATCGCTGCCAGCTGAAGCGAGCATTGCCGACTTTGGCATGTCATCAATGGCGCAGTCGTCGCCCTGTTGTGCTCGTAACATGGATCCTGGTAACCCAGGAAACAGTGTCAAACGAAGCATGCCCTCCAGCAAGCCCACCAGTTTATGGCATGTTATATCTACGTCGTTGGTGAAAAGCAGCTCATCTTCCAAACCGTTCTTCATGTTGGCCTTCAAAAACTTGGCCAGCTCCTTGTGTGAGGCTGTGTTTTTGACCCGTTCAGGTTTCTTCGGTCCGTCGTCTTTGGTTTCAAGGCTAAAACGTGCATTTCCATGGCTTGATCGGAGCCTCGAAAGCACCAGCCGCTATGAAGTTTCGTGCTTCCGCCATCTTAGAAGCCTGAAAGGCCTCGAAACTCCCACAAAACCTAAACCCTAAACCCTAGGCCCTAAACCGCAACCCTAAACACAGAACGATCTTCAGGAGCAGGGGAATCCGGAAAAAAATCAGAGGGGAACCTATGTGGGTAGTTCTTTAAACTAGGGTCTCCTGTTTCAAAGTCCTCACCTCACAGTACGCCACTTTTCTTTAACAAGTACCCTAAAAAGGACCCTGTTTTTGACAACTAATCACATGCCGGAAGCTCCTGGAGGGTGAACAGGTTGATTTGTTCGGGGCTTGAGGGCAGGACTTAGCCTTAGGGTGTCTGTTCGGGCTTGGGGTATCTTCATTCTAATATAATACATGGTGTGTTTTTACTAAACTAAACTATTTTTCGTGCTGTACTATTCTATTCTCCGATGGGTTCCCTAGTACGGGTGAAGGATGTGAGGTCAAGGCTGTCGGAGCCTTGCTTTTGACTTGAGGCCTCTCAAAGCCTAAACTTCCTAGACCCTAAACCACACTAGCCAAAATCGGGCTTTCCTGGATTTTTCCCGGAGTTCTTTCAGAAAGAACGATATAGAGGGATCCCACAAGCCGGAATAGGCTTGTGGTAGCAAACTGTATTATGACGCTGCGCGAGTACCAAGAATGCGTTCTGTTAGCCAAGTGTGAGAATTCGCTCGAAAACTTTTTGCTCGACCACTGGTAGCCGTGACACCTTCAACAGAGGAATAATTACGATACTTTTACATCCATGAACAGTTTCTGATGTGTCTAGGTATGCTTTACACATGCGCCATTGGCTCCAGGCCTAGGAAGTGATATTACAGTTGCTCCAAACCCTGGACCCTCAAATCCCAGAAGCCTCACTTGGAGGGTCGGGGGACTTAGTAACTGGTTATTTTAGGGACTTAAAAGTACCATAACCCCCAATTGGGGTCCCTTTTAGGGTACTTATAAGTCTACTTACTAACTCCGTTCTAAGTCCCTTAACCCTAAACCCTATACCCTATACTACCCTTATAGAGCCCTTTAAAGGAACCCTTAGAAATCCCCTTTAAAGGAGCCTAAGTCCCCCGACCCCCCAAGCAGATACCAGAACCCCAGAGCCCAGAAACTCTCTGCCTCGTCTACGGCACCCATCAGCACGTGAAAGAACACCGTCAGCGTCAGAAAATCCACAAAGCCAGTCTGCGCAGGGGCTTCAGGATCTGCACGGTTCAGGGCTTACAGTAGAAGCCAGAAAGTTGGAACATCGCTGTCCTCATTCCCTGAAGGTAAAGTAGAGGGAGTCCTAGCACTAATCATCCTAAATCCATGTTCCAACTTTCTGGGGCTCACTATATGACTGAAAGACAGCCGGTCTGTCCTGGCGTTTGGGGCTTGGAGTTACGGTTTAGGTGATTTAAGCCTTGATATTTCCTTTCAGCCGTAAATTCAGCACCCAACATGCCACAGTTGGGGTTTCGATAGAATCCCAACATCGTACGATGCCTGCCTTGACTGCTTATGAGAACGGACATGTTTCCAAACCAGATGCTCTTAAACCCCATTCGGCCAACTATACAATGCCCTCATAGAGCAAGACTTAGAACTCCTCAAGTCCCTGCATCAATACCGGGGCCATATTTATGCGAGCAACTACCCTAAACCCATTACCCCTTATCTAAGGAATATACCTTAAATAAAAGGGTGCTGGGATCTCTGGGTACCCTAAACCCCCACATACGAGACAATATCAAGCTGCCCTGATACTTTCAAGCAAGGCAACCGCTGAAAACCAACTCTCCTCGATGTTGAACGAGCCCTACAGAGTTACAGATCTTTGACTGAGAGGCCGCTAGGCCTTTGGAATGTGGCTCCGAGTTGAAGGATCTAGATTTCAGGGGCTACATCCCAAATCACTACAAACACTTCACAACACCCGATTGAGTCTCGGGCCCTTTGGCCCGTATCGGAGAAAAAAACAAGCTCCCAGAAGGAAGTTCTTGTAGACTGTCTTTCTAGATTAGCACTCTCTCCATCCTAAATCTACGGCCTTGCTCTCGAGCATAAAACCATACACCCCACACCCATGCCATGACATGGCCCTATCAAGCACAACTGCTGCTGGACAAGGTCAAGGTCGAGTGTACCCGGAACCATGGTAGTCATAATGTATTCCGTCTTATTCATGCTATATTCGGCCGTACGGATATTGCAGAGTTGTCCATCAGCACTATGATGCCAAACCCCAAAATTTCAAATCTTAAACCTAAACCCTCAACCTTGAACCTACACCCTAATTAAATCTCAAACTCTAAACCCCTAAACCCTGAACCCAAGATGCGTGACCTTTGTCTAACCGATTCCAGGCGCTCTCGGTTCGCATGCGCTACGCCACGGTCCGGAAAGCCCCTACCTAAGAATTAGGGTTTGGGGTTTGGGGGTTTAGGGGTTCAGGGCTGTTATAGGGTTTAAGGTTTAGGGTTTCGGGGCTGTTATAGGGTTTAGGGGCTCATGTGGAATCGAACCGCTCGCAGCTAAGCTGGTAGCTTTCGGGCATAGTTGTGAATCATATCCAACCCACCTAGAATGGCAATACTCCGGGTCAACTAAACTCTTGGTACCAGCTTCTCCCGTCCGAGCTCAGCCAGCTGAGTGAGGAATTGTCCCCGGCCTGAGCAACTTCCAGACCATGACTGTCTCGACTCGGAACAGTGTTGTCACTTCTTTTCTCAGTCTCATCATCATCATCGTCATCATCAGCGTCGTCATCGTCGTCACCATCAGCGTCCTCATCATCATACTTCCATACTTGGTTCTAAACTGTGAATGACTGCCACTGCGTGAAACGACTCCTTGACCACCGTGATGACTGGGTTTCTTCGCACAAGTAGCAACATCTCTCTGAATTAGTGGAACTCTAGCTCTTGACAAACCCACGCCATGTCTGAAGGTACCAGTGGGATTGGTTACCCAAAGGCCCCAAAGTAGTTCCTTTTTGGGGTTCGTATATAGAGTCCTACAAGGTAATCCCCAAAAAGGAACTACTATGGGGCCTCTGGGGGGGGGATTAGAGTCTTGTTTGGGGGGCTTAGGGGGTTTAGCCTCAGTTTAAGGTTCCCCCCCAGCCTGCTCCTGCAATTCTGATGCAGGGCCAGGAATCGAGATGGAACACGATAATTAATGCAATAATTACAGCCCTGAGTTGTCCTTTCAGCCCTTTGAAGGTTATTTACTATTGTGGTTCTCTACAAAATAGTAGGGGAAATTGAAAAAGATCCAAAAGGACAACCCACAGCCTTATGAAATGCAACTGCAACCCACAACCCACAAAAGCCCATGACCCATAGTATATCTTGCAAATGCGAGGGCGACCCTGTGGAAGCACTTACAACACTTGCAGAATAAATACGACACGTGCTGCGACACCCCGCGCAGCCCTATAACCCCCTAAACCTTAGACCCTAGAATCTAAACCCTAAACTCTAAACCGAGAAAAAAAGACTGAAGCCCTGAGCCCTCCGGCGGGACTTGACAAACGCCTCGGCCCGCTTCTTCGCCTGTTTCTTGGGTTTGATTGGGATCTTGCTTGGAGGTTCATGGGACTTAGTAAGTACAGTTATAAGTACCTTAACTGGGGAGATAACCAATTATAGAGCTACCTTATTTATAACCCTAGTTAGTAAGTACCATGAACCTCTAAGTGGACGTGGTTCTGAGAGTCTTGTTCTAGGGCCAAGGGTTTAGGCTTGCGCGTTGTCAAGGAGGGGAAGTTTAATTACAGGCCTTCGCAAAATTCTGGAATTGCAGAGGGAAGGGGAGTTGGGGTCTGAGGCTTGGGCACTTACTTTGGGTTTCGGGGTGTGGGTTTAAGACAGTTTAAGAGTTGGGGTCTGAAGAGCTGGAGGACTGATGCTTGGGTTGTAGGGATTGAGGTTCTGAGGGTTGATATGGCGCCGCTTTTGAGTAGTTGACCCTTGTTAACGCGCTCGGGCCGGGGTCGAGCACGCGGATCTATCCTGGGCATCCTCTTCAATGCGCTTTGATTCGGCCGGATATGTCTTTCATGTTTTTCCTCCGCGTGAATGGTCAAAGTTAGAAGCAGGAGGTCTGAGGCTTGGCTTCAAGTGCTTCCCAAAGCCTTTCCGAAACTCTGCCCGAATCCTGCCCGCAGTGTCGGCAAAACTGTGGGAATGCTTTGGGAGAGCTTGGCAGGATGAAACGTTCTGGGAAGGCGGGTGGGGAAATGGCTCGGGATCACATGTTCTTACTACAAAACCCCCAATACCTACACCTATGGAAGCTAGAAACAAATCCTACAAAAAGGTAGGTTTTCGCAGGTGAAGACGGTTGCGGAATTTATGGTTCAGGGCCGGGTGTTAGAGGTTTTAGTGGTGTGGGCTCAGGGATCAGGGTTGGAAGGCTTCGGGTTGAGCGTTTTCGGGGTTAGGGTTTAAGTGCTTTTCAATGAGCCTCGAACCCCAAGCTCCGGCTGCTAGCTTCTTTGGCTCAGGGTTAGAAATAGGATTGAGGCTTCCAAGGCCCAAAACCACAAGACCTCAAACCCTAAAACCAAAACACCGTGGGGTTTAGGACTTAGCCACCTAGTCGAAGGCCCCAAAGTAGTTCCTGTTTGGGGGGCATATTCCGAATCCTATAAGGTAATCCCACAAAGGAACTACTGTGGGGCCTATGGGTAAACCCTTAAAGAAGCCCTTAAAGGGACCCTAAACCCTAAACCCTATAGATCCCTTTAGAGGAACCCCATAGCCCCTATAGATCCCCTTTAAAGGGGCCTATGGGATTGAGCCACCGGCCTCTTGACCCATAGCATATCTGTGCTGCGGATCGTCGATGAGGGCCTTCACCTCTGAAGCACCCAGGTCTTAAGCTTAGGGTTTTTTAGGAGTTTTGCCGGATTCCCCTGGTCCTGAAGATCCTTGGGGTTTAGGGTCTAGGGTCTAGGGTGAGGGTTTCTGGGTTTGGGTTGAGGGTGCCTGAAACCCGACAACCCAGTCCTAAAGCCTCATCTCCAAAATTCAAAAGCAGCCCAATACTGTAAGCCATCTACCAGCAATAAGCCCAAATCACAGCACCCTTCACCTAGAACCCCCCCCCCCAAACCTGTGGCCTTACACCCTGAAAACCAAGGTTTTCAAGCCACGATCTACTCCATCATTGCCCTAAAGGATTATGATCCATTGCACATTAAACCCTAAACCGTAAACCTAGGGTATAGCCCTTAGTGGATCCCCAGGCATAACTCCCTAACCCGAAAAGGCCCCATTGAAGACCCTGTCTCGCTAGACAGGTACTTTGCGGCCAAACTATACAGTAATAGGGACATGGACCCTAGGTTTAACAGCCGGAAATGCCATCATGATGGCCAAAGCTTCGGGGAACCAAACCACACCGACGGGAGCCAAGCTCAAGGTCGCCTAGGGTTTGGGGTGTTTTAGAGTTCAGGGTTTAGAGTGTTCAGGGTTGAGCTAGCGTTAGGGATCCGTGGAGACCCCTCGCCAGGTCGCGGTTGAGGGTTCAGGTCAGGAGTTTAAGGCTCAACACTATACGTCCTAAACCTGAAACCACTCCAACTTGAATCGACGTTTCCAAGATTGAAGGTTCAACCCTAACCTGGAGGCCAAGAAGGAACATGTTATTTCGAGGCCCTTATTAGTATTAGCTTATTAGCTTTACCAGTATGTTTAACATGGCTATTAGTGTGATATTATTACTATTCGTGTTTTTGTTGTACATATGAACCTTCATGCCGCTGTTCTTACTATGATGATAATGATGGTGATCATTAACACTAGTATTCGTGATATTAGTCTTCATATTATTGCTTTACTCAAAACCCCGAACACCGAAGGCTTTGTCCGGAGAGTCCCATGCCAGAGCGCCGCTGAAGAATTGTCTTAAGCTGCATGATGCTCCTCCTCGCTAATTCCAAAATCCATTCTTTATTTGGACTCTATGAATGGTACATCCCCAAACCAGCCAAAACATCAAACACCAACTAAGTTGAATCCTAGAGCCCAAAAGCCTGAAGCCTTGTAAACCCTAATCTACAACCCTTTAATCACTCCACCCCCTCTTTCCTAGAGACTCCAATATCCCGTAACTTAGGAGTATACCTTAAATCATATTAGGGATCCTACTATAATTTAAATTTAGGGAATATTCATTCATGAAGGGATATTGGGGTCTGTGGGAACCCTGAAACACCCCGGAAGGCACTTAACGGCACCCAGTTTTAACACTCTTTGAAAGGACCCAAAGGGAAATATTCCTTATCATGTAAGGAATACTTCATGAAGGGATGGGTTGATCTCCTTTAAGGATCCCTTCAAGGAGCCCTTATAAGGCTCTACTCCTTACTTAAGGAGTCTCTGGGTTCCCCCTCAAAAAGAGCTGAGTTCTCCGACCCGCTCCAGGAATCCTGAAGCCTCCTCCGCAGTGGCTACGTAGAAGTGACTTTCAGCCTGAGAGAGGATTTATAGGGTTTAGGGTTTAAGGGTTTAGGGTTTAAGGGTTTAGGGTTTAAGGGTTTGGGGTTTAAGGGTTTAGGGTTTAAGGGTTTAAGGGTTAAGGGTTTAGGGTTTAGGGTTCAGGGTTTCGGGTTTTAGGGTTTAGGGTTTAGGGTTCAGGGGTTTAGGGTTAGGGTTCACTTTGGCTCTTATCGTATCTCAGTTTGCTAACTCTTAAAGCTTCGCTTTGGCCATAAACCCTGAACCCTTAAGCCCTTTTGTGTATTTACGGGTTCGGAATGGAGGGCTGGCGCTTGGGGATTGAATGGGAAGGTGTGCATATTCAGTTTGCGGGCTTGGGGACGGGGTGTAAGCTTCGGGGTCCTAAACCCAAAGACTTACCTGCAACCCGGAAAACCTTACCTTTTTAGGCTGCCGCATTATGGTTTCTATCTCGACTTCCCTGAAAAGGTAGGTAGCTTGAGTCACAGGGAAGCCCTAAACCTAATTAGGAGTTGGGACTTGCTTTTTGGGGTTCTTGAGATCGACTACGGTGAAGATTAGACCCTCAAACTTTCCACGACAACCCGGTAGATCTGGGATTGAGTCTGGTGGAGCCGACTCCGTCGGCGTCTCGGGCTTGATTGCGGATGCCTCTACATGAAGCACCGGCTGCTCGCGTGGACCCTCTGCATACATACATGCATACATACATATACATACATACATACAGTCTTTCATTGTTCAGACATGTGTAAGTGTACATGCCAACACCCACATACCTGCGTGTATGTAAAAAGTAGAGTCATACTGACAGTATTTTGTACACGCAGGTCAGCGTTTGTATGCCGGCAGCCGTTATACGCTTTGCATACGCATGTTGCACTCAGTTCAGTCATCACGAGCCACAGGGTGCAGAGCATACTACTGTTGAATCTATTGTACTTGCTCCCACCAGCATGGCTATCACGCCGGTCCCAGGCGGTGCAACGGCACTCTCATTACTTCTCATCTTTCTGCATATCCATCACATCAGCAATCACATCGCCCACCGATCCAAGCAACAATCTCACCGCATTCTTCCCAAAGACTCCAAACCCCGGCAGTCACCTAACGGTTGACCAGATAGATCCTGCATTACCTTAAGGACCCTAAACTATGGGAATTATAGTCTGTTCCTTATTGTGGCTAATGCAAGATTTTTTATCATCAACCGTAGGGTTCCTTTAAGGGATACGTCAAGGGTTCTATATGTCGCCCATAATTTGAGAAATACTCCTTAATTAAGAGGTATTGGGTTGGTTCTCTGGGAACCGAGATCCCTAAACCCTGAACCCTAAACCCTAAGCCCTAAACCCTAAACAACCTGAAACACCAGACCAGGAGCCACATGCTGCTTCTTCTCCTCCTCCGTCGTCCCTGGCCTCGGTGAGCGGCTACTGTAGGGGCTCGACGAAAAGCATGCCGGGTAGGTTTTAGAGTTAGGGTTTAGAGTTTTAGGGGCCTTAATAATTAGAATATGGTTTTTGGGCCCATTATACTAGAGTTATAATAAGGAGCCCCCAAAGTAGGATAGGTAACTATTAAGGCCCCTACAGTAGGTGGCAGGGAGGAGAGTTTCGGGTTTAGCGCTTTGGGGTACGAGGGTTTGGGATTTAGGGCTTAGGGTTTGAGGGTTTAGTATTTGAGAGTTTAGGGTTTAGGGTTTGAAAATTTAGGGTTTAGGGTTTAGGGCTTGAGCATGTGAGGTCCTAATCCGAAATTTCACTTCCGAAGAGTTACACCAGGGTGTTCCGGACGTGTGGCTCCAGGCATGTGATTCCGGCTCTGCTTCGGAGTGGTTGGTGTTTCTAAAAGCTGTTTATCGTCTTTTAACTCAACCTGGACCCAAAGGTACTGCTATGGAGAATACTCGCCAAATCATAGCCATTCCTAATTGAGCTTCCAGCAAAGGGAATGTAGGAGCATTAACCTATAAGGGTCCAAAGGATCCAATAAATTAGGTACTCGGTTTTAGGATAGTAGTTATGTAGGTTTCCACAGGCTTGAGGCCTTCCACTCACAGTCACTTCGCAAGATCCAACGGATCAAAGCCACCTACTACACCAAGATCCTCACAGACAACCCCCATGCACAGACCATCCGAAACGAAGGAGTCCGAGCTCTGGCCGACCAACCCCCCCTCACCCACCACATTCACAGGGCACAGCTCAAGTTGTTTGGTCATGTTTTGAGAGCAACTCCGAGCAACCTGGAGCGAAACTGTGTTTTTACGAAGGCGTTTGTATATAGAGGGGGAACAGTACAGGCAGGCATTCGGCCGGGACGTGGTAGACTGCACTGGGCCGAGCAGTGCGCAGAGCTAGCATGGCACTGGCTGTCGTACACTCCTAATGCCATGACTACTCTCGCCCCTAGTTTTCCTTTTGCCTTCCTTTTGCTTCACAGGCTGGCTGTTAACCGTCCGGCTTGGCTTCAGTTAGTGGGGCTGCCAACGTGCAAGAAGCTCCTCAGGTCTAGCGCGTTCTTTTCCAACTCACAGTGAGTACGCTGACTTGTGTTTGCTTTGCATAGGGCCGCCCAAAAAAGTTATGTAGGTTACTATTTTGGAGTGTATATGATAATTAGGTACTTGAACCCTTAGGGTTAGTGTCATCATGCCCTTATGGCAGGGCACAGGGAATCACAACACTAAGTGTGTGAATCTTCGTTCCACCGTAGAGCTCTACTTGCGTACACGGCGGCGAAACTTTCGCAAGACGCTTCTAAGGTCATGTAGGGCTTGGCTTCGCGCTTAGAGGGCTTCTGGGATTTCCAAGCTGATTGCTTCAAGGGTTAGGGCTGTTTTAGACGCTTCTTCAATGACGCGATGCTCTGCCCTGTAAGAGCCTCGCAAGGCGAACAGCCCCCATGGCCCAATTACTTGCCACAGGGCTTCCCGAAAACCGGAAAAGCTTGGTTCTTGAAGGGTCCGAAAGATGCGTAGGGTCTCGGAATACACACAATCTACCTACCTACATCACATCCCAGAGCAACCGGACAGATTACAGTCAGAAGCACTGAACATGTCGCGGCTTGAGTCTCCAGGCGAACCAGGCCATACCTTAAACCCTCTAGCACAACCTTATGGCAAAGTTTAAGGGCATAAACCCACATCTATACTGAACTTGGATCCCTGGCAAAAAATTGTTTTAGCTGTTTCTTAGGGAATAGAATAACCAACGATACAAAACTATTTCTCAGTTCCCCTAAGACATAGGGTTTATAACACCATCCACAACCTCCAGCCCATCAGAGCTTATGGCTAGGCCTCCCGACTCCTTCCGCCGCGGCGTCAACTTTGCCTGGTATCCCAAAGTGTCCTACTGTTGATGATATAAATCCAGCATTTCCTTAAGGACCCTAAACTACGGTATATTTCTTGTTATGGGTAATGCAGGATTTATATCATCAACCGTAGGTACTGCTATGGAGGATACTTCCCCAGATCATATTTGTAATTCTAACATAGAAACCTTACACTCTACTATAAAGCTACTTTGGACCCTTTGGGTATTGTGGGGTCAGTGTTTACACGATAGGAGTTTAGGATGGAGGGTCTAGGAGTTAGAGTCTACACTATAAGGCTCTGAAGTACACACAGAGTACATACTTGGGTTAGGCTATCAGCATGTATAAGTTCCGATTTTGATGAGTATGTGGCTATAACATACTTGGCCTTCCACATAGGGCTAAAGGGGTTTATGACAAAAACAGTTCCGGGTTTTAGGGCTTCAGCGTTGAAGAGACGGGCGGGGGGAGATCAAATACTGCCTTTAAGTCCCTATACAGCTAGAAAATAAAATACCTCCACACCCTCCCTTACTGCAAGCAGTAAGCCGGCTTCTTCGGGCGCGCAGTTGCTTCCGTTTGCATCTCATTGTGTAGTGCTCTGTCGACATACATCTTCACGTTCGACCGCCACGAACTCATGAAAATGCATCAGCAGTTGGGCACTTGAATGTTGGATGCGCGCTCCACAGGAGAAAACACAACAACTAAAGCCGAATGCCGCTGGCCTGTTGAGTTGGACATGCAAATCATTGCAGGGGGAAAAAATCCATTTGCATCCTTGTGACTTTCAGCTGAAAGCCTTCACTTCGCGGCGCAACTTCGTTTCTATCTGTGCCGGAAGATGTGGCTCTGCAGTGCATTCTTGCCAAACAGAGTCGCCATGGACCAGGACTGGCTCCAGACTGTTGTGCATCTCGCTGTCTGGCTCCATCTGGGGTTGACCCTAAACCCTAAACCCTATACATCTCATTAAGGAACCCTAGTTACTAAGTGCCATGAACCTTTAAGGTACGATTTAAGTTTTAGGGTTCGGCTTTTAAGCTTGAGGAGCTGGTGGGGCTAGACTGACCCTAGATGAAAGCTTCCGAAAATTGGGGTACCTTGTTTTGGGGTCCTTATAACAAGGATCCGACTATATTAGGCTACTATATGAGGTAACCTATTTTCGGAAACTCCCAGATGGGGCTGTGAAATCGTTCTCTTACCTTACTCCCAAATAACCTACCTTTTTTAGGGACATATATAAGATTTGAGGCTTGAAAATTGGAGTCCTTAGAGCCTTCCCTAGCCCCAAATAACCTACCTTTCTTGGGAACTTATATGAGGAAATCCTAACAAGGAACCCTAAAAACGTAGGTTCTTTGGGGTCCAGGTAGGGGCTGAGTACCCTAGACCAAAAAAAGGCTAACCTTTGAACTTATGGTAGGATCAGGTAAGGCCCAACAGATTAAAGGTTACCTACTCAGCTACTAAGTTCTACTCATACCTGTAAATAGTATGCTAACCTCCTTACCAGACCAACTGCCCGAATCCTCCTTCAAGTGCAAAAGGGGGGGTGAAGGTATGCTCAGGCTATGAGGGATATCAGTCGTGGATATTGGGTAATGATTCAGAATCTTACACAAACCTTAAAAGCCCTAAACCCCGGACCCTAATCCTGATACCTTACTCCTGATACCCTAAATCCTCAAAAAAAACGAAACCCTAATTCCGAAAATCCATCACCTTGACCCTCAAAGCTGCCACCGCCTCGAGCTCTTCAATATTGTGCCCGCGATGGAGAGTACGGATCTTCATGTCCTTTCAGGTGTTGTGAAATTATGATTATAGGGTTTAGGGTCAAAGGGGGCCTTGACAACTAAACTGGGGTGTTGGCATGCACTCCAATATAATTGTAGGTGTAAGTACAGTAATGAACCCTGAGGGTTAGGTGTCACCAACTACTTCCGGCCTATTGCATTGAACGAAAGAGGCCATTGAGCGAACTGCGGCACCTGCGCCTTGGCTGAGGCTTCTTCGAAGGATGTGGAAGCCAGTCCAATTACTCGCTATGCAAGGAGGCTTGTACGTGCGGCACCGACGGCACAGACAATCGGCCTTCATTACAGACGGTCTTCATAGTACCCAGTTCCCAATTCAGCTTGAGCGAGCCGGCCTTTATAGAAGGCGTACCCCTTAACCCAGAGAGGCCAATAAGCTTCAAACAAGGAGTACCGCTTGAAGTGTACGAGATCGCTACTATGATTTAAGGTAGACTGCTGAATTGCTCAATACACAAAGTGTACAAGTGCCAATATAGGAGCTACTTAGTAGATATTTGGGCCCCCCAACAGCATATGGTATACTAGTACTTGGATCCTTTGAGATACTGCTAAGCTTAAGGCATTTTACGTGATGTAAGACCTAGCGTTTCAGAGAGCTGCGGCCTCAAACAAAAAGGTTTCAATTCCTCACTCGCCCAAACCCCAAGGGAATAAAACATGAAACTGAAAGAATCGACTAGCTTATAAGAACCCCAAAAGTTGAAAAGTTGAGTTTACAACTAATCAGGTTCAACCCAAAGGCCCCAAAATAGTTCCTTTTTGGGGTTCGTATATAGAATCCTATAACCTAATCCCCAAAAGGACTACTATGGGGCCTCTGGGTAGTTTGTGGGACTTGATAGCCTCACCACCACGCTTTTGAGTTGGCCCTGTGTGTGTAGCCCTAGGGCTCTAAGGACTCATATGGGTGGTTGCCAACAGTATGGCCCCTTTTATAAATTAAGGCTTTCGGGCCCAAAGACCATACTACATGAGGCTTTTGGGGTGTTTTGATCCCCAGGGTAGTGTTTGGACTAGGGTAAGTGGGCTTAGGATGTTTGGGCTACCCAACGACTCCCAAGACGGTCATGGGCCTTCTGGGGGAGGGTTTGGGCTTTTTGGGGCCAAGGTTTGGGATCTCACTACGAGGGTCCAGGAGCCTTAGGGTAGGGTAAGCTTTTCGGATTGCAGGTTTCCGGCCGGCTTAGAATCAAAAAACAATACAGAGCAAGGTTTAGGGTTTAGGGTTCTGCATTCCTCTGAAGTGAAAAACTGTGTGACAGCACAGAAACGGCGCCACCTTCGCCCCACACCCACATTCTAAACACTAGACACTATAGGCCCTACCCATCACTTACGGGATGCTGGATGTACATTTATCAATGTAGCAAACTTTAAAGCCCTAGAACTCTGTAAAGAAGCTCGAATATCGCAAGATCTTCGTTATTGCTTGGAGGGTCGGGGGGCTTAGCAACTGGTGATTTTACGCACTTAAAAGTACCATAGCCCCAATTAGGGTCCCTTTTCGGTACTTATAAGTCTACTTACTAACTACATACTAAGTCCCCCGACCCCCCAAGTGCGGACCCAGGTTTTCCCATCCTGCACCAGTCGGATGTCGGGCACCCGAAGCTCCTCCATCATGTTCGCCTCCAGCTGAGAGCTCGAGGCGAATAGCTGTTTACCCAAAGGCCCCAAAGTAGTTCCCTTTTTGGGGTTCATATATAGAACCCTATAGGTTAACCCCAAAAAGGAACCACTTTGGGGGTTCCAGGGTGTTCATACAGTTGCCATATTAGATACTGTGCAACCAAAATAAGACCCGGGCCAATATAATGTATATGGCGTGTAGCTACGTTTCATTATGGGACCCGTATCCTAGCTGGATTTAACGATTAGGGTATCGGGTTTGGGACTAAAGGGTTGGGTTTTAGCCTGTGATGGTAGTGGATCAATTCCAAAAGGCAAAATTCGTTCCATATGCAGTGGAAGTCCGTACAAGGGACCAACAACTTTGATTCATATGAACCGGATATGCCTGCAGCTCAATGGATCATCGCCACAGTCTTACACTTAGAGACTCCAGTGCCATCGCACGAAGCCCCGAAACCATGAAGCATTCTGTGATCCTAAACCCTAAAACCCGAATCTCTTTATAGAACCATCATGACACCTAATGTAGTACTCTAAATAGTAGGACCCTCATTATCAGGACCCCAAAACAAAGTACTCATCCCCACCCAATTCCCTTATAGAACCCATCATGAAACTAAACCCGAAACCCCTAAACCCTAAACCCTATACTTGGAGGGTCGGCGGACTCAGTAACTGGTTATTTTAGGGACTAAAAAGTACCACAGCCCCAATTAGGGTCCCTTTAGGCTACTTAGAAGTCTACTTACTAACTACTTACTAAGTCCCCCGACCCACCAAGTAAGGGTGAACTGGACCCAATAACTAGGTACTCGGGTATGGGACAGCAGTTATGTAGATTACTATTTTTGAGAGTACATGATGATTGGGCACTTGGACCCTTAGGGTCCGTGCAACAAAACATCCTCAACTGAGCGAATATAGGGGCCTTAATAATTAGAATAGGGCTTTGGGGTACATTTTACTATGGTCTTAACAAGGGCCCCGATACTATCTTGAAGGTGCTTGGTGTACTTAGAAGACTCCTCTGGCATGCTGACAAACAAATCGACATCGGGGCCCTAACCTAAACCCGAAACCTACGCAACCCTAAACCCCACACACTAGGCCTAGGCCCCGAAAAGACTGCCCCACCCAACCCTGAAGAATCTACCTTGATCCTACATGCTCTCCATGGACTGACTTCCCAGGTTGGAAGTCTCCCCAATACCCTTTAATAAAAGAGTACACCCAAAAGCATAATATTAAGGCCTCTATAATTTGAGGTCTATTTCTTGATTAAAGGGTATTGGGTTCTTTGGGTCCAAGCTGGAGTATCCTCCTCATAATGTCAGAGCTCCAATCATCACCTAATCAAGCAGTCCTACTACTGACTGGGAGACGGCCATCGTTTGTCTGGGCCATTTCACCCCGAATCGCAACCTCGATTCATTGCATCCTAAGCACGAAGCCCCAACCATCTAATCCGCATGAAATCCCTCACCAAACCCTGATCTCTCAAAGCCGAAGCCCTATTCCCAAATCCTGAAAACCCAGACCAACCCCAACCCCTAAACCCTAAACCCCTAGAACCTAAACCCCTAAACCCTAAAGCCCCAAACCCTTTGACTGAGCCTCCGCCAGGCCGTAGTGGCCACTGCTGACCTAGGAGAGCCCAGGTGAAACTGACGAAACCTTTGTCTACCTACCTATTTACCTTCCGATGTATCTGTCTATCTATCTGTCTGTCTATTTGTCTGTCTGTCTATCTGTCTATTTATCTATCCATCTATCTATCCGCCTATCTCTATTTATGCACAGGTGTATCCATCGTTGGGTTCTTGGGATTGTTTTGATGCTTGCCCGGCTGTCTGAGTCCGATCCCCTCACTGAAAGAGCTACCCTAAGACTCCAAATAGCCCAAAATAAGTAGAATACTTTAGACCCTAAAGTAGGCAGTGTTTGTATACTTGGAGTCTTAGGGCTATAATACGAACTTAGCATGCTTTCCATGTTTGTGTTGTGTAAGAAGATTCGAGCAGGAAGGGCAGGGCCCGCTGGCAAAAGTCTGCAAGCCCTGAACCCTCAACCCTAAACCTACTGTTGATGATACAAGTCCTGCATCACCGTAAGGACCCGTAACTACGGGAATCATGGTATACTCCTGATTATGGGATAATGCAGGATTTATATCATCAACCGTAGGGGTAGAATACGAAGCCCTATAGTACCCTAAATGCCTCAAACCGAGCTTACAGGCCAAGCCCTCTATCCCAACCTTAAACCCTGTATACACCCACATAGGACTGTCAGAAAATACAGACATACTGACAGAAACCACCTGACCCCCCCCTCAAAAAAAACACACTTTTCAATCTCGTCTCAAGCCCTCAGAGGCCCACGTAGTATACGTAGGAGCCTTAATAATTAGAATCGGGTTTTGGGGCCACCCATTATGGGTCAACTATAACAAGGAGCCCCCCAAAAATAGTATTGGTAACTATCTGGGCACCTAATATAGAACCCTACTAGAGATCCCTTTTCGATCCCTCAAAGGTTTACTCGAATCATACTCAGAAAGCCCCACAATAGTATACGTAATTATTGAGGCCCCTATACTCAGACCCCCGGGAGGATCCAAAAAGTAGATCCCTTAATGGGTGTTCCTATAAAGTACCCTTAGTAGTATAGGGCCCCAAAATAGCGGATCTACTTTCTAGATCCTCGGGGGTCTGGGTAGTAAGCCCAAGTAGTCGAGGTGCCACGGGGATTCCCCGCAGCTGCGCTTCCACCGCTACCAAGCCAAAGGCCTCGCAGCTTTCGGGTTGGTTTAGGGTCTTGGGTTTAGGGTTTTAAGTTTCGGGTTTAGGGTTTTAAGTTTAGGGTTTAGGGGTTTTAATTTAGGGTTCAGGGTTTTAAGTTTAGGGTTTAGGGCTTTAAGTTTAGGATTTAGGGTTTTAAGTTTAGGGTTTTTTTTAAAGTTAGGTTGACGGTCTCTTTGTTCGCCTGCCCGAGTCGGCTCCTAACTATCCTCCACCGGTATGTTTAACAACCAGGAGTCTCAAAAGAAACGCATTCCCAAGGAAAAGCAACTCAGACGGCCCCTCACAGGAGCAGCTTTACGACCCACGCGGACTGCGACTACGGTCACGATGAGAGGACAGGCCATCCCCAGACTCAACCATCATTTCACCATGACATTCGTTACCTTCAGGTAGAGGTACACACACTCCAGAATCATCCCGAACACCAGCACCAGGACCATCAGCACCTACATCTGCCCCATGTACAACGTCAGGTTCGCGACCAGGTGGTACTCCCGGGCCAGGTGGTACTTCAAGTGGTTGTAGACTCACCAGCTCGGATAGTGTGTCATCCCCAAGTGGATCATCAGCGTCCCAACTCGATCAGAAACAAGTGCAGTGCCATGCGGTACTCCCGGAACAGGTGGTAGTTCAGGTGTGTGCGCGGTCGTCCCGTCAAAGTCTGACACATGTACTTGGGAGGATTGACTGACCATACTGCTCTGCATCGCCCCTTCGCCCCCTTGTTGAACCAGGACATCTGGGAGCATATGAGGATCCAACCATGCATCGCGCAGCCTGTCTTGCATAGTTTCCAGGCACGAGGCAGTCAGGGCGTGGACGAAGGGTTGGCACGCTTCCGAGAACGCCCCGTGGATATCTTCAGGCGGCAAACGTCCAACAGGGCCCGACCGCGACACCAGTACCGCCCCAAGCTCATCCAGGCGGTTTGTCAGACGTCGCAGGGTATGTTCAAGGAGAGCAACACCCCAATGGACCTCCCATCCACGTAGAGGGTCGCCATCTGCATCGTCACGTTCAGCCGCCCCTGCCAGCCTTGCAAGTAGAGCAGCAAGTTCATGTACACAACGACGATCAAGACCCAACGACTGAAGACGTAGGTTTTCTTCCACTCCCAACCTTTGCATGAAGCTACTCTTGTCGTCTTCCTCATCCTCCACGTTGTCCTCCTCGCCCCAGGCCGTCCACGATGTAGTCGACAAGGTCCACGATGAAGTCAAGGTTGAAGTACTCCCCAAGGTGTCTCCACGGCTCAAAGACGTCGTTGAAGAGGTAGCGACCAGCATTGAACCAGCGGTCGTAGTCCGAGTTGTGCACAACGGCCAGCTCTCCCCACTGTCTGTGTCAGGGTCGTTGGTCTCCTGGTTCTCCTCCCCGGATTCATCGCCTTCAGTTGGTTCAGCCGGAAAAAGTAGACCGGGGTCAGGGGCACGTCTGGTCGGCCTCAGGGATCTTGCTGTTGCCATTCTCGGAGTGCGATCACGCCCCCTTCCATCTTCTTCACGCCCACGAAGTGCATCCTCAACTGGTACTTCACGCCCCCGTAGCATCGCATCAGATACGTCCCCTGGGTCTCTTCGTGGCGGCCTTTCCTGGACTGTCAGTCTAGCCGGCAAGGTGTGTGGGTCCGTGTAGGCATCATCCACCCCATTTCGTATTGCTTGGTGGAAAACACTCGCCACGATCATAGCTGGGCGGTAACAACCCGAAAGGACCCGGGCCCTCGTGTCATCGATCGCCGGCATGTGCATCGCCCCATCCACCTCACGTCGCTGAAGGGTCTCCAAGATGAAGTTCATGGTGTTCACAGCGCCCCTGAGAGCTCTGGTGAACACACCCAACGTCCACATATACTGTGCTCGGACATGTGGGGCCACGTTTCGATCACCAGCTCGTAGACTTAGTTCCGCCAGCCATCCATCAAGCTCACTGAGGTCCGCCCCAAGGATGCCATGGTTAATAAGGCCTTGCCACTCCTCCATATTGAACGTCTGGACCATGCTTGTGATGTCCCCATCCTCCAAGTCATCTCCATCGTCTGCGCGTCGAGTTACGCCCAGGTCATCTCTGCTGCGGCTTCGCTCTCGTAGAGGTGCAGGTTCACGCCCCATTCTGTCTTGTTGCCGTGGTTGTCCTGGTCGAGGTGGTAGACGAACACCTTCAGGTAGACGAGCAGCAAGTCGACGATGGTACCGCACCAAGTCATTCGCCACGCCCAGGAGGATGTCAGTTAAGCGCCCCGCCAAACCAAGCAGGCGCGTTCGCTGAGCAGCCACTCGCGGCTCCCGGAATGTCGGTTCCAGCCTTCTTTCCAGGATGTCTGTGCTTCCACAGTGGAGCGGATGACGTTGGCCGACCCGGGCATGGTGGCTTCAAACCTGCGTGCCCATGCCTCATCCAACGCTGCCGGCCCGGCAAGGCGCGCTGCGGCGACCATGCCCGCCAGCGCCGAGGCATTCGCACGGGCTTCATCGCCCCCTGCGTGCTGCAGTGCGAGAGCTATGCATGAATCATGCGACCCTCGGCTGCTTGCAGTCAGGTTGGACCTGTATACGCAACGGTGGCCGCCACTTGCACCGCGTTCACTTTCGAAGCGGCCTCCGCTGCCGCCTCGAGACCGGGGTTGACCGGGGCGTCAGACACGTATGTCGCCAGCGATGGCGATCCGAGGATGGACGCCATCTTTGCGTATTTTGTGAACAGGCGCCACAGCCCTGCAGCCCCAGCCCGCAGTGCTGCGCTGCTGGCGGCTGTCGCCGTGGCTGTCACGACGTCCGAGTAGTTGTCGGTGAGGAACGAGCCCTGCAATCCTGCAGCGATGCCGTACCGTCTGAACATGCCGCGCACGGTCTCCAGTGCTCCAAGTGCATCAGCGTCCAGCAGCGACAGCCACGTCTGCGGCGAGCTTTCGAACATCACCATGGTGTTTCGGAGAGCCGCTGCACCCTGTCCGCCACACAGGGATGCAAGACGCAGAAGCAAGTGGTTGTGGCCAACCATGGGCATGTTTGCTTCCGTGTAGATGCAGGTCTTGGTGTGGAGCCCAGCGTTAGCTGGCCCGCCGGCTGTCACTGTGGTGTAGTGATCTGGCCAATGCAGCCCCATACGCACTCGGACGAGTTGATCGTTCGTGAGCGTGTAAGTCTTCCACGTACGGCCGCGACCGGCCGCTGCTGCAGCCACAAGGCTCTGCACTTTCTGCGCCAAAGCTTGTTGTGACGGTTGGAACGCGGCCAAAGCGGCCCCAGAACCTGCAGGCAATCGCTGCCGGGGCGTTCGGCGTCTGCCGCATTTCAGCCGGAAGTGTTGTCAGGTCTTCATATGGATCTGCTCCATGTCCACCGCCATGGAAAGCACAGCTTTCTCTGTGGCGTCAGCGACGTCAAATCCCACTGCACTGTCGGAGATCGTAGCCGGCGCATGGCGAACAAGAAAGGTTTCGAGGTTCCTGCCGAGGCGCAACCCGTTGGACGACGTACCCGTGGCATGACCTGTGTTCACCCCGTCTATGGCAGCCATCACACAGGCCCCAATGATGAACGCCGCACCATCTGCGAGTCTCACGCGATCCGGGTTCGTGGCGAAAAGCGGATCCGCAGGCTCAGTCGTTTGGACGTTGGCCAACGCCGCCTGGAGCGCAGCACTGCCGGCTCCGTGTGCCTTTGCGTTGACGGCTGTCACACCGCAGAGCAGCGAGCGCGTATTGGCAGTTTCCAGTAGGCTTACAAGACAATCTGACCCCACGGCGTCAGTCATTGTCCCAGCAGAGCTGATCTCCACGCCGGTCATGGTGGCAGAGTGGCTCGTCGCGACAGATGCTGACACTGCGCGAGCACCAGCGATGAAGACCCCGAGCTTCTGTCTCGCTCCTGCCGAACAGACTATCAGTTGGCCGCGACGCGCTGCCAGGTGTGCTGGGATCCGGATGTTGGAGCCGCCTCTGAACCACGTTGACGGCACAACGATTGCAGTGGCGGAGCCCACCGCAGGCGCCCAGCCGACACCAAAGCGGGCCTCCATTGTTTCCGCAAAGGTTCCCAGAACGCCATTGATCGCAGCCTGGTTCGCAACAGCCGTGGAGACCTGCAAACCGAGGCGGCCGGCGATGTATGCATCATCTGTAGAGACGTAGCCTGCCGTAGCCGAGGCGCTGTACAGCGGCATTGCGACGTCGGGATCTGGCAAATTGCCTGTCACCGTGGCGTCGACCACGCTGGCGCACGAAAACAAGTGCACAAGCGTTTCAGTGCCGAAGAGCGCCTCGCGGTGGTTTGGGCGAGTTGACTGCGGCCGGGTGGCGCGCAGCGCCTCTTCGGTGAAAATGCGCGTCGTGGCCTCGGTGTTGGGCAGTGGTCGGCCGAATGCCGCAAAGCCGCACAGCGCATCTAACGGTATCACCGGCCTCTGCGTCACCTGCAGGCCTGCATCGGCCTCATGCATCCAACCTATTGCGGTTGTGGCCACCGATGCAGTGGCTTGCGACGCTGTGGCTGCATTGGCTGACACAGCGCCCAGCGCAGCGAACACCGGCGCAGCTTTGGCCTTCGCCTTCGCATTGGCAAAAGCTTGCGACTTTGCTGCTGCTGCCCAAGACTTCGGAGCCATTTCAAAAAACACTCCCACAAAGCTGTTCTAGACACTTTTCACGCTTAAGGGGGTCTGCTTGAGCCGTAGGGTTTTAAGTTTAGGGTTTGGGGTTTAGGGCTTAGGGTTTATAGGGTTTTAAGTTCAGGGTTTAGGTTTAGGGTGTATAGTGCTCCAAGGTTTGTAGGGTTTTACCTTAAAACTTTTAAGTTTAGGGTTTAGGGCTTATAGGGTTTTAGGTTTGGGGCTGTGGTTTAGCGCTTGAAGTTTAGGGTGTATCGGGTTTTAAGTTTTAAGTGTGGTGTTTAGGGTTTATAGGGTTTTAAATTTAGGGTTTAGGGCAGTTGGGTTGACGGTCTCTTTGTGTGCCTGCCCGAACTGGCTCCCCTGCCCTGTGTATGTTTGCCCAAGGTTTAGGGTTACCCAGATGCCCCATAGTATTTCTTTTTTGGGGATTACCTTTCAGAATTCATATACGAACCCCAAAAAGGAACTACTATGGGGCCTTTGGGTAGCTGTAGGGTGCATAGGTTCGTCCATACGGGCTTCGAGAAGTAGACTCGGGTTTGGGGTAGAGTACACTAATAGGCCTATCTGTAGGGTGTCTATTTGGGGATATAGGGTCGGGTTTAGGACATTACGCCACACCTGCGCCCTGAACGGTACATTCCTTCTCGATGAGCTCCTTGGCCCCCTTAGAAACACATTTGCGGTGGGCATGGTGTTGTATAAATAGTATATTGTCTCGCTCTGTCTCCACACGCATAGCTTCGCTTTGGAGATGAGGTCTGTCGCACGTCGCTCCGAGAAGCCGAGGATTTCGACTGCGGTGGTGCAGGCTTCGGTCGAGGTACTCAGGACTCGGCCATGTTGGGAAAAGCATGCTCTCGATGCCCTGCGTGGTGAACTCGGTGACGAGGAAAGGGCTCTGAGAGCAGGTCTCGTGAGGGGGGCGAGGTTAGGCTGCAGCCCTTGCTCCAGTAGACTGTCCTGCCGCAGCGGCAATGTGGTGTTTTATCAATACATCGCGGGTGAGCGTCGCCACGCAGGTATCCAACAGCAACAATTTGCCTGCCGACTGGACACAAAGATCCTCATGCAAACTATACCCTCTCCTGCTTCAGCACGAATGGTTTGGGGCTAGAGACTTTTGGGTTCTAGGAATTGCGTCTGAGATAACTATCGCATCTACCCAGAAGCTCCGGGAAGGTAGAAGACTGACTTGGGTTGTAAGTGGGCTATAGATATTCACCCAGAGGCTCATGCCCTACCCCTTTTTAGGGTTCCTAGTTTTATGGTTAGGATCTGTTGTGTAGAAAAGTAGATACCCTAAGAATAGGGCATGAGCCTACAGGTCAAGCAAGGTCGCCAGAATAGTTTCGCTTTATGACTCGCTTTCGAGGTCCTGTGATGCTTCAAGCAGCTATCTGTGGCATGCTGAGAATACTGCAGAACGGACTCTTCGGGTGGCTCGGAACTGTAGAATATGTCTTGTGCAGAGTCAGACTGTATTCGTCCAGACTCATCCTACCAGTAGCTGTTCAGCCTGAATCCTTAACCTTGACCCCTAAGCCCCTCAAAATGCTACGGTTGATGATTTAAATCCTTCATTACTCATAATAAGGAATATACCATAATTCCCATAGTCTGGGGTCCTTAAGGTGATGCAGGATTGTTATCATCAACAGTAGAACCTTCAAGGCAGAATCCCCGACCCCTGAAACCCTTAGCAAAAACAACCCTACACCCGATGTAAACCTGTGCTAAACCCAAAACTCTCCAGAATCCTCGTAGGACCCTTATCGACCCTCTAAACCCTAAGCCCTGAACCCTTTCCCTAAGGGTCCAAGTACTCCTTATTATAGGACTTTAAGGCCTGTTTAGGTATCAAAAACCATAAATACCGACTACTTGGACCCTTAGGGTTTGTTGTTCATATATGGAGTGCCTCAGAGTCCCCGCCTCCGACCAAATTGATGGAACGACGAGCAATGCCGTCTTCTGGTAGATGCTCTCCTTTGCGCTTTAGGGTTTCGGGGTTCGGCTCGGGGTGAAGGAGTTGAGGGTTTATGGTTTCTATACTGAACTTAGAACCCTAGCAAAAATTGTAATTTTTGCTGTTTCTTAGGGATAGTAATAACAAAAAATTAACAAGTATTTCTAAGTACCCCTAAGGTTTTAGGAGTTTAGGAGTTCAGGGTTTGGTGGTCTTGCCGCTCAGGGATGCAGGGTTTTGGCGTTTAGGCCTTGGGCCTGGTTCTGTACTTAGACTGATGCTGAGGTCAAAGGGTATGTACCCTGGGGCTCCTAAAGGGGTCCGGGCCTTTCTGGGGGAGGGTTTGGGGTTTGGCAGCCAGGGCTTGGGATCTCACTCTGAAGATCCAAAAGCTTTCAGGTAGCAGTAGAAGTAGCATTGTAAGTCTCCCAAAAGAAGTTGTCCTTCTCGACATTCGGTCAAATTGCGTTTTGAAGACTTTGTTATACAACCTACTGACAGAGCCCAGTGCTACTAAAAGCATGTAGAGTGCTTGACCCTTGAGCGCTTAGACGGCAGACAACCTAGACGGTTCGGTTTGTAGGTTTGCAGGGCACGGGGCTTTCTCGGGCTTGCAATGCTTGTAAGGTTTATGACGTAGAAGGTTTAGGGCTTGGGCGGTTGGGAGCACAACATGTGCGAGGGCACTCCTCGGGAGCCCAGTTAAGTCTTTCGGGTTTAAAGAATCAACCCTTAAAGACCCTGAGAGCCTAAGTTCAATGCGAGACGCATGTTTCCAGAGGTTGTGCAAGGGTTGTGTAAGAACTTCAGCTGGGGCTTCAACTGACTTTATGATCGGTTCATAAGGGATTGAGGGTGTCTTGTAGGGTTTTGGACTTGAATGCTCAGATAAGGGGGCATTGCAAGGCTTGTAGCTTTGTGAGTAGCAGAACCCCCACCACGACTTCCCAAGTTCCCTGATGCGCCTCTACGTATCAGGCTTTTGGTTTTTGATCTTGTTGTTGAATGCCCCTTTTCTTCGCGTACGCTTTAGGGTTTAGGGCTTATAAGGATTGGGCTTTAGGGTTTCCTGGAAGCAGTTGCAGTTAGCTGTTTCAGGGACAAGCATTGACACGCCACAGCCAGAAACAGAACAAACAAAAGCATGCATTGAGTTGCAGCATCGCGAAATACCAAATTAGGGGTTAGGGTTTGGGCTTTGGGCCCAGAGTTGCGGGCTTGGCTACACACCAGACTGATTCCATCTGCGGACGGATCGGATAGAAAATGCGTCACGCAGAAGAACCATAAGACGAGAACACATATAGGATTAGGTAATGATGACGAGCAAGCTTAGTCCTAAACTCTAAACCCTAAAACCTAAACCATGTACCTATAAGCCCTAAACCCCTGGACCCAAAACAGGGTTTGCCAATGATCCAGAAGCCGCCTACACAACCAGTCGACAGGCCGATGCAGCAGAATCCAGAGCATGGGGGACCGCAGGAACAGTACGGTGTAGGGTGTAGGGCTTAGGGGAGACTACCCCTCAATCCGAAAAGTGCACCAAAGAAGAGTAGCACAAAATTTGCGCCCAGGTGCAGCATTTCGTCGCCCGGCGCTCACACGCACGTTTCGCAGGGAGCGCAGCAGTTGCTCGTGGATAGTCTCAGAGGCCGCTCGCAGGTAATGAGCGAGGTTTACTTGGAGGTTCAGGGGCAGTTATAACTAGGGTTATAAGTAGGGTAACTATATGTATAATCCACCTTAGGGGAGGTTCAGGGGTAGGTATAAATAGGGTTATAAGTCCCCCAAGATGGATTATAAATTTAGTTACCCTACTTATAACCCTACTGATAACTACCCATGAACCTCCAAGGGTTTAGGGTTTAGGATTTGGGCTTTAGACTTTGGGCTTTAGGGTCTGGGGTTTAGGGCTGAGGGCTTAGAGCTAAAACAGTAGGATCCTGATGACCCCCGTTGAGAGTTTAGAGATTGCAGGTTCAGTATTGACGGTTTACATGAAAGTATGATCGTGGTTTCGGCATGCTCTTCATCATGGCTTTCCAGCCATGGTGACGGCAAGCTCTAACCACATATGCCCTGGCTCTAAGTATAGGCTTCCTGACTCAGAATGACGTGGGCTTTGAGGAGATACGGCTATGCCCGGGAGTTGGATCCGCTCGGATCGAGAAATTGAAAGTGGCAACAGCTATACTAGGCTTCTCTGGGCTCCTCCATCAGAGCATACTTGGACCCTACGGTGCCTGGGAGCAAGATAAATCTGCAAATTCGATAAAACCCTGAGCCCTCGACATTGACTAACCAATGGTTTTGGGGTTCCTTGGCTCTTTAGCCCCTTATTTGGTAGGGATTATCATCATAACTGGCTCCTTTGCTCCTCCCACATCAATGGCTCCTTGATGTGTGGGTTGAAACAACAACCTTCAACAACAAACACGAAACCCTGAGCAGTTCTGTCACCTTCACCTTTCCTAAGCATGCGCTGAACCCCCTCCTTCAAACCACAACCCAGCCTGTTACAGGGCAGCCTGTGTTAGCATAAGACAACCTTGATCCGGAACATCAGACCCCGATTTTACACCATTCCATGCAGTCAGGCCTTTGTCCACACGGTGGTGACCGCCCGGAAGCGAACCTTTGAAGGGCTAGCATGGCTTTCATGTTCTGGCTTTGGGCCCGTGGGGCTCTTGCATGCTGAAGTGCTTGGGGCTTGGATTAAGGTTCGGTTTTAGGAGTTTGCTTCTTCGGGGTGTGATTTCGTCAAGCCAGAAGTTCTTGTTACGGTTTCTAGCCTTATCTGCTACAGGCTGCAGTAGAGGGCTGGCCACGTTCCCTTGTAGCAAACAGTGACAGTGACACTGCTCCCTTAGGATTTGTATGTGCGGCCTCGAAACCCTTAAACCGAAAACGGAAACTCCAAACAAAACCCAACCCAGGGGGTAACATGCCGCGGGGTCGATATGACCTGTTCTGAACAACATCTCTGCAGCTGGTCGTGCGCCGAAACACCATGACGAGACAAAACTCCGAGCAACGATGCACTCTAAGCCAGGACTCCCCCAATTCTGACCCCTAAATCCACGCTCTAAGCCCTATAAAGCTCAAGCAGCGCACCCCTTAACCCTCATCAGCAAGGCCCTGAGCAAATGCTCATCCCCAAAACCTGAAAATCCAAAGCCCGAATAGATCGGGAGTTTCCGAAAATAGGGGACCCCAATATAGTACCCCGAATAGTAGGATCCAAATTATAAGGACCCCTAATTGTCGGAAACTCACACATACGAAATCCTGAGCCGACGTAATTCTCCGGCAAGGCATCCTTCAAACACATCCCCCAAACCTCCGGGGATCCAAAAAGTAGATCCCTTAATGGGGGGTTCCTTTTAAGGGTTTCTTTAAGGGTCCCTGTAAGGGTTTGGGTAGATACCTTAGTGGGGGTTCCTTTAAAGTACCCTTAGTAGTATAGGGCCCCAAATTAGGGGATCTACTTTCTAGATCCTCCCGGGGGCCCTTCCCTACATGTCATGTCGAAGGCGCCGTTGGCAGATCTTGAGCAAGCCGGAGGAAAATACAAAGCCCTGCCATCAAGGGACGTTGCTGTATAGGTTTATAGGGTTTAGGGTTTTAGGGTTTGGAGTTTAAGCTGTCTTGCAGGGGCCAATAGTAAACTAGGAATAAAAAGGGCTACTTTTGGTATCGGGTAACTTCTTAGGAACCTAGGACTACAAAAAGGGAATAAGGGTACTACTGGGCATCCTAGTGAATAATGAACAAGTCCTTGGGCCCTAGGATACTATTGCTATAGTATACTCATTACCCAGGTGCTAGCCGAAACCCTAAGCCGAAACCGATATAGAGATTAAACTCTTTTGCTCCGCATTCCCCTGATGCGGGTAAGTGGCTTTGCAGAGCTACATCGCGACACGGACCCACGGCAGCAAGCACAACAAACAGAGACCAACATATAAGCCCGCAGTCATGGTCTACCCAGAGGCCCCATAGTAGTTCCTTTTTGGGATTACCTTATTATAGGATTCTACATCGAACCCCAAAAAGGAACCAATTTCGGGCCTTTGGGCAATCTAACGGTCGGTTTCGGATTTCAGGATGAAGAGTTGGAGGCGACCTTGCTCAACACGGCTGGAGATGCAAATTGCGCTGTTAGTTTAGGATTTAGTGGATTAGGGATTTACTTTTTGGACTTGACACGTGCTAGGTCGCATGCTAGGGTTTGGGCTCCGCCAAATGCCGCTCGTGAAAGCAAACCGCACGATGTCCTGCTGAGTCGCAACTTAAGGTCTCTCTCCAACATTTCCAATAGTCGACACGACCTCGAAACCCGAAGCCCAAAAAGCCAAACTGTAAACCATAAGACCTAAACCCCTAAATGCCAAACCCTATAAAAACCCTAAACCCGGGCCCCGCCTTTCGCCGGACAGGGGCTAATGAATGTAACGTAGTCGCCACCTGCACCAAGGATCGCTCGTACAGCTGATGGAAAGAAAGGCTTCAGCACCCACGGTTAGGGCTCGGGGTTCGCGGTTCAGGGTTTCGGGGTTTAGGGTGTTGGGGTTGAGGCTTTCCGGAATTTTAGTAATTATTCGGGATATGCCGTTGAGATGTAGGCTTTTGCCTATACGCCATACTGTGCTTCTGAGGTTCAGAGACCAGGTGCAGGACGGAGCCACGAGGGTCCCAAATCCCAAAAACCCTCAAGCCTGCACCACAGGTCAGTGCAAAAAGAGCTCACCCTCAAACCTTAAACCCCAACAGTAAACAGTGAACCCCAAACCCCAACCCTTCACCCTGAATGCCTTCATAGATCAAGGTATGGAGACAAAGGGGAAGCTTACCGCTCCCCTTTTCACCAAAGAAGCTTCATGAGCCCTACCCATAGGCCCCAGAGTAGTTCCGTTTTGGAATTACCCTATAGGATTCTAAATATGAACCCCAAAAGGAATTACTATGGGGCCTATATGGGTACCTGAAGAGTCAGACCTTTCATTCGGGAGGTTTAGGGTTTAGGGGATCTGGGTACCTAGTTTTTGGTTGGGATGTGTTATGCGAATATAACAAGGAGGCAAATAACCTAACAAAAGGGTGAGGATGACCCTGCAGGTAAGCAGTCTGTTTGTTACAGTTTCAGAAATTAGTTTTGGAAACTCAGAACTCGCTCGGATTTTGGGGGGCCCATTATGTTTATAGTAAGGAACCCCCAAAATCGTATGGGTAATTATGAAGGCCCCTACAGTACACATGAAAGGGGCCTTCACAGTTTTGCGCTATATGAAAGAGTACGGCTGGAATAACAAGGAGCCCTAGGGAATAGCGTCAAACATGATTTGGGTTTTTTGTTTAATGACGTCTGCTTTGATGTCCTCGTATCTCCCATCTGGGAACCGTGTGGCCTTAAGTTTAAACTTGAGTGCTCGACCATGTGGGGTTTGGGCCAACACACACCTATAGCCTATAGTATCCATTGTAGTTCCTTATTTTGTTTAACCAAACACTGTAATATGGGATCTTAACCATAAAGCTGGTTAAACAAAAACAGGAGCTACAATGGATACATTAGGCAAAACCCGAACCCCCTAAGCCGTAATCCTCCGGCCCTAAACACAGCAAAGCCCGACAACCCTACCTGCAACGGAGCTGGAAGTTAAGAAACGGTCGAAGTAGCTGTAGTCTGCGCAGTAGCCTGGCAGGATCTTAGGGTCTAGAATTCAAGGTCTAGGTTACCCAAAGGCCCCAAAGTAGTTCCTCTTTAGGGGTTCATATATAGAACCCTACAGGGTAATCCGAAAAAGGAACTACTTTGGGGCTCCTGGGTAGAGGGTTAGGATTTTGGGGTTTAGGGCCTAAACCCCTAAACCCTAAACCCTACACCAAGGAGTTAGGCTCCAGGTTTAGGAATCTCGTGTTTCGTTGGGAGCCATGAAGTCGCAAACACTCTGAAGTTTCCACGATAGGATGATACTGATAGGGTTTTAGGGTTTGTAGGGTTTAGGGTTTATAGGGCTGAGGGTTTATAGGGCTTAGGGTTTATAGGGTTGAGGGCTTATAGGGTTTAGGGTTTATAGGGCTGATTAGTTGGTAAATTACAACCTCAGAACCCCAAGACACCACAAATCCGCAACCATCCGAAGCTCATGTTGAAGAGCCTAGATTTTGTACGGGCTGATCAATAATGGCCATTTGCGGACAGTTACCCTAAAGGATCCATGTACCCAAATAAGGATCCCTTATGGGTTCCTTTAAGGGTTTTATTGGGCATACGGGTCCATGTACCCAAATAGTATATACATTGGCCTTGAAGTACTCCGTTTGCTTTAGTTACTTTGGAGCCAAAGTATGTACTATTTAAGTACATGGACCCTTAGGGTTACCCCAAGGGTCCAAGTACCTAATAATCATACACTCTCGAAAATCCTAACCTACATAACTACTATCCCAAAACCGAGTACCTAATTACTGGGTCCTTCGGACCCTTAGGGTTATAGAATCTCTAGAGTTTCGGGGTTTTCGAGGCCTAGGGCTTGCGGAGCTGTACCCAGAGAACCCAAGACCCCTTAAATAAGGGATATACCCTTAGATACTAGGGGGCTTAATATTATGATTTGAGGTATATTCCTGAATTAAGGGGTATTGGGATCTTTGGGTAGGGACTTGAGCTGAGAAGCGAGTTAGCCTCGAACAGCAGGCATGTGGGACTGTGGGACTTTCCGACAATTCGGGATACCTTATCTTGGGGTCCTTATAATAAGGATCCTATTAATACTATATTTGGGTCCCCTATTTTCGGAAACTCCCATATGAGCTCGCGCCCACAAGTGATAGTGTCCCTAGTTGGCCCACCCCTCCCAACCATAAACTCTGAATCCTAACAACAGACGGTGGGAGCTACAACACCTTAAAGACCTTCAACCCATGGATTACATATAGCCTAGCATACCTTGGTTGATGGCAAGGTTGTTCAGCCTTCAGTGCTCACTGGTTGACAGCCCCTGCGTCCTTCAAGGATAACGTGCCCGTCTACTAGTAGTCTGAAAAATGACCTCCAAAAGCCCCTTGTAAAACTAGTTACTAGTTGGTGTTTTGCAAAATATGCCTCTGCGTTCATAGTAGGTTGTACATACACACACACACACATGCACACAGAAAACAGCGCTGCATCTTCTTATCTGGTGTGTAAACACGCATAATGTTGGGGCCTTAATAAGTGCCAATACTATTTTAGGGGCTCCTTATCATATATTTATAGTATAATGGGCCCCAGAACCCTATTCTAATTCTTGAGGCCCCTATATACTACCCTACATGGTAGGATCCTTATTAGAAGGACCCCCAAATTCGGTACCCCTATAATTTTCGGAAACTCCCATATGCTACTGCAGCTCCAAGCTCGCCGGTGCCGCAGACTCGTGCATCGACCTTGTCGGCCGACCAACGCCGGACGAAGTCAGCAAGATGCCTCTCTTGTGACATACAACAGCATGTAATAAACATATCACAAATATGCACATCTATATATATGTATATATATATATATAGTTGTATGTAAATATATAGTAAATATGTAAACATGTAACGTATAAGATGTAATTTGTTTACCAAATATAGTTGTAGTCACAACTAATTATAGGCATATACATATACACACATATTAGAAGATCTTACAAGCTAGCGTGGTATAATCTACAATACGGTAATATAGAATTTGATATGACAATATACTATCACATAATAGATTATGTAATCCACAACACATTGAGATGTAGTCGATATGATAGTTTCCGTGGAGCTGATAGTAGAACTATCGGCAGTGCTCGTGCAGGTGTCTGGACAAAGCCATCTAGCCACTTCCCCTGTCACTATCAATTGCACTCTTCTCTGTCGTCATTTCCGTACCCTCTCTGAAGACGTCGCATACAAGAAAAAACTCGAACGATTTTGGTTTTTTTGGGTTCTTGCCCCTGCGCAGAATCCACGGGACCCTAGCCAGAAATCCGAAGCCTAAATACTAAGCTAAACCCACAAAGCCCTACCAGCAGGACCCAAATCCCTGAAGCCTCAATAGAAACCTTCAAAGGCCTACCCACCCCTAGACCCTAATCTCGAATGTAGCGGCCTTAACAATTAAAATACGGCTCTGGGCTCCTTAATACTATAAACATAATAAGGAGACCAAAGGAATCATATTGGTAATTATATGGGCTTCTACAGTAAACCCTACGCTCCAAGGAAGCCCCTGCGGCCTGGATGTGGCGAGCAGAACTGTTCCTCAGTGGGCTTACAAGACCCACGTGCAACAGCAGCGGGGACTTGCACGGGCTGTATTCAATATCCAAAATGCCGTGTCTTAAACCCCTCCAACAACAACAAACGAAACCCTAAACTCAGTTTACATAACCCCTGAAAATCCTCACGTTAAAACCTGAGTGCATGGAGGGCTCAGGACTTCCGGCAACAAAGCGATCACAATATTTAGACAGGGGGTTTTCTGGTAGCTTCCACAAATTAATGACATTAGAGATTGTAGAATGACATTAGAGATTGTGGAATTGCGTACCATCATTAACTTTCGACCCTATCCCGAACCCCTAGACCCAAGCCCCTATAGATCCTTACCCTGAGGCTCAAAATAGGCCAACAGCCTTACCATAGTGTTGTCTTTGGGCCCGAAAGCCCTAAGATATGAGTCCTTAGAGCCTACCTGGACCCCAAAAGTATGTAGAATAAAAGCCTTTTATAGGTTTTGGGCCATTATTTTACCTACTTTTGGGTGTCTAGGTAGGGGTTAGAGTACCAAGCAAAGTGTACAATTCGGGCCTCCCGGTCTGGTCCACGAGTTTTGTGTCCAGGGGTGCAAACAAATCCGAATCAATCGTCGACTTGAGACCCTGAAGGTTTACCTGGACCCTAAGGAACCTACCTTTTAGGGCCCCCTAATATGATTTCTTTATATAAGTCCCTAAAACGGTAGGTTATTTGGGATTAAGGTAGGCAGGGTTTAAATGCCGAAGTAGACACCGAACACGTCCCGGTCAGATTATCGTCAACAGTTGCAACTTTTGCAAGTCCTAAGCCATCGACTGCCACTCTCGAGATTGAGTTCTCGCACCCTCCCAAACCCAAAATATCGAAACCTTGCTCCGCAAGCTCATAAAAACCCCTAAACCCTAAACCAAAAGGGCCTTCCTGCCCAATTTCCCACAACCATAGAGCCCCGAGGCCTCACGACTCTCATCAATTGCAGCTGTGTCTTTCCGCCTCTAAACCCTAAGCCCAAAAGCCCGAAACCCTGAACAGCCTAACCCCCCAAACCCCTGTACCCATATAAGGATTTAGGGTTTGGGGTTTAGGGTTTGGGGTTTACCCGCAAATTCCTAAGTTCAGAAATCCCTAAACCTTGGCCATGGCTCGTTCCATCAGCCGACAGTGCACTTCGTGCAGCGCAGGCCAAGCCTCTTCTGCGGCTTATGGTTTAGCGCTTTGAGTTTGGGGTTTGGCGTTTGGTGATTCATGTGTTTGGGGGTTCCGTGGAAAACTAAGCTTGTGTTCTGGACCCTTTTAAGGAACCTTCCCATGTTTGGTGAAGAGTTTGTTGGCATTTTCAAAGCTACTGCCACCCTGTTTGCCACAAAAACTAGATCCCCAGCACCCCTCTGCAGTTGAGCTTTCCTCAGCTCTTCCAGTTCAGGTCTTTGGAGTTTTAAGGTTGCGGGTCCAGGTTTAGCAGTCTGTTGTAAGGTTTGGGGGTTTAGGTTCTCGGTTTAGGGTGGAGTTCGAGCTAGCAGCCTTTTCAAAAGCGAAAAGACCCCTGTTCAAGCGAGTCTGAACCGTCAGTCTCCAGAAGCTGCCCGGCAGAGAAAATGCAAACACTCGCACTGGGATCACCTTGCCGACACTGGTTTGTAGTTACCTGGACCCTGTCATGTGATTAGTTTTCATCGGGGTTTGTCTGGCTTCTTTTATGATATCCACTGTACCCCCCGAAGGAGAACTACATGGAATTTTTCAGATGAGCCATAGTGTGCTCTTTAGGCTTAGATGTTGTGGTTAAGCTAGTGTTTGGGGTTCGCCAGTTAGGGTTTAGGGATTAGGCTTGAGAGTGCTCATATTCCGGGGCTGTGTGAGGGAAGCACCCCGTCCTCGCGCACGCCCCAGGGGCCGTAGGGTAGATTGTAGTCGTGACCTGGGGATTGCCCCGTTCTCTTTTTGGGAATGCATTCACCCCTTCGCAGGGAGTCATACACTACACACCTTCGTTAAAACTATCAGTGGCTAGTCTGGCCAGCTCGGGGCTAGTTGTCCCAAAGCCAAAAAAAAGATTGAGGCTTGCTGTCGCTTTCAGAACCCGTCCATGGGGCACCTAGCGTTGAATCTATTGTGCTGCTACGCTGCCTAGGAGCCCAGCAGCAGGTGGCTGCTGATAACTCAAGCCCTACTACTTGGGTATGTGGACCCTTCATCAATCAGCCTTCATCCATATTGCTCTCATAAACCGTAAGCCTGGAGGCCATTCTCGAACCCTTGTAGGACCCACCCTCATAGGACCCGATATTGGTACTTGGGCAATGGGTGCCTTTACGATCCTGACTGAACCCACAAAACATGACTCAAGGGTGTAGAGCTTGTTGAGTTTAGGGATAGTTCCTTTTTGAGGCTCATATGTAGAATCCTGTAGGGTAATCCCAATCAGGAACTACTTTGGGGCCTCTGGGTAGGGTATGCTGGAAACCTGAGCCCTTGCGAAAAGGTGGTTTCTGATGATAGGGGACCCTAATATAGTACCCGAAATACTACGGTCCATATTATAAGGTACCCCAAAATGAGGTACCCCTAATTTTCCGAAACTCCCATAAGGTGCCAAGAGCAGTTATGATCAGACTTCACCCGTGTGGCGTTGGGGGATGAGGGAACTATAACGACATATGTGTGTATTCGAACCTCAGACCTCTATATGTGAGCATCTGCTTGCTGCAGGTTTGCAACAAGTGCTTGTCAAGATCGAGGGCTTTCTTTCTTAACCCCTGCGCAACAACACGCCCCTTCACTTCAGAAATCACAGTACCCGACGATGCTCACCCCAAGCCCGATACACCCTGAAAGGTTCTCGGGGTTTCTCAGGGCTGTAGGGGGCCCAAAATTTTCAAGTTTAGGGCTTACAGTTGCGGGGATGTGTATTGCGCTTCTTGCGCGTGTACCCGGCTTGTGCAAGGTGGAGTATGCCACAGGGTTGTGCTCGACCCAACGCAATCACTTCGGGGGTCGTGGGGCATAGTAAGTAGTTAGTAAGTAGACTGATAAGTGCCCTAAAGGGGACCCTAATTGGGGTTATGGTACTTATAAGTCCCTAAAGTAACCAGTTACTACGTCCCCCGACCCTCCAAGCACTGCTGCACGAAAATCGGACAGGCAATGGGTTCGGGTCTCCTCGTGGTCGAAGATCTGCATGCCCAGCTCCAACGTGGCCAATGCTTCGATGCAGCCTTCCATGCTGATGCTTACCCTGCGACATGCTTTGCAGTACTTACTACTTCTTCAACCTTTTAACCGGCGGCGAGGCCGCCGAGGGCGGCTCACTCGTCATGGCCGTTCCAGGCGACATGGCCATACTTCAGGCCGCAGGCTGTCGGGTCCCAATGCAGCCACTGGCTACCGGACCAAAAGCGTCTCTGCAACATCTGTCTGCACAAGGGACTTGTTGCCGAAGTTTACGATAAGTCACCCAGGGACATGCCTGAAAGCCCATAAGACCCTGCTGACGCTGCAAGGGGGATGTCTAAGTCAGACGAACTGACACATCAAAAGCCTGTATTTAACAAGCGTGTCCCTAAATAACACTTATGTAATTATTATCCCCTGAAGAAATTTGCGATACACTGTTACACCCTTGCACCCCAGTGTATACTTGGACTCGTTTGGTTACTTTATCCCGGACCTTCGAATATCCCTTAATCAAGGAAGATATTTTATTGAATCATACTGTGATCCCTAAGGTGATTTAGGCTACGCGCGTTTGATCACTTTATCCTCAGCACCCGACCCATCGCCACCTGCACCTTGGCTCCAACAGCGCCGTGGAGCAATGTAAGCATGTCCCGCCTGCTGCATTTCACAACAAGGGGGTTTGGGGGTTAGGGTTTAGGGTTTTTTTAGTGCACCGGGTTTAGGGTTCAAGGTTCAAAGCTTTTTCGTTTAGGTGTTGACAAGGGCTTAGGCTTTAGTCTTGCGCTTCACAAGCGGGTAAAGGATTACGGCTCAGGGGCTCATACCGGTCTCACATGATGGTTCAAGCGACGTCATGCCTGCCGCACTCTACCTATAGGGGAAGCCTCAACCCTAAACGCTCAATCCTAAACCCGAAACAGCAGGCTCCACAGGTCTATGTGGTTTATGGGAGTTCTTACCATGGTGTAAGGAACGCCCTGCGTGCTACACCTCAAATTGGAGTTTTGGGTTTAGCTGTCGAAAAGGTTTAGGTGTTTAGGGGTTTGGGGGGTGTATCGCTTAGGCTTATGGGGTTAGAGGTGGCTCATGGTTAGAGGGTTTCGGTTCCCAGAGATCCCAATACCCCTTAATTAAGGTGTATACCTTAAATCATAATATTAAGGCCCCTATGATTTAAGGTATATTCCTTGATTAAGAGGTATTGGGTTCTGGGACCAGGAGAAGATGGAGCTGGTGCCGGTCGTCTCCAGGGCTTCTTGAGGGTTTGGGCTGTGCATGCACCCTACGTGGGTGGTTGTCAAAATTAGGGTCCCTTTGTGGATCCCTATGATAGTACGGCACCTGATATCTAGGGTACCCAAGAAGGGCCATAATTTTGACAACCACTCACGTGCTACAGAAACTACCTGTGTTGAGGCGTAGCCTCTGCCGTCTTTGGTCATGGACTTCAGGAGTTCAGAGCTACGTTCCTAGCGGAGGATGGGGAGGGTAACTACAGGAAAGCTGCAAAATGCAACCCTGAACCCTAAATCCTAAACCCCAAACCCTGATCTCGCAAGCTACCCTAAGGCCCCATAGTAGTTCCTTTTTGTGGTTCATATTTAGAATCCTAGAAGGTAGCCCCAAAAAGGAAATACTTAGGGGCCTATGACTAATGACTAATAGCCGAGAAGGCCGAACCCCAAAAAGCCAAAGGACCAAACTCAAAAGAAACCAAGACATCTGCTGAACCTCAACGGGTATACTGAAAGATGTTTGGCAACTCACCACCCTACACCTTGGGAATCCTAGACCTCAAGCCCTAAAACCTAAAATCAAAAAACAGCTTTGAACCCTAAACCCTACAACAACCCCAGCCCTACACCTCACTGAGGTTGCGATGGCGATGTCTGCCGCCAACTCTCCAGCGCCTGCTGTACACAAAGGGCTTTTGAGACGCAGGGTTTAACCGGCTCAGGGTTTGGGGCTTGGGTCCCTGTGCTTGCTTTTTAGACAAGGTTTAGGGCCTGGGATCTTGGTGACACCCTATACAAAACATGATTTAGGGCTTAGGATCGTGGTGAGATCCTACACAAAACAAGCCGAAACCTCAAAGCAAAAAACAACAAAACCTCGAAACCCCGAGACGACAAGCTCTGCAACCCTAAACGAAACACATCCGGAAACCCTAAACCGAAAAAGCACCGAAACCAACAACAAACACCACCGAAATCCTAGCTTCAAAAATTTAAATCATTGAGGCCCGAAACAACCGCACTAAACAACAAAGCAACGGAACCCCAAACCGAAACAACACAGACATTCTAAACACCAATACCCTGAAACACTGAACCAACAAATGCAGAAAACAATAAATCGAAACGTGGAAACCCCACACCAAAACATGCCGGAAACCCTAAGCCCCAAACTCCGAAACATCGGAAAACACACCGAAGCCCTAAATCCTGAACTCTAATTAAGGCGTAAATCCTAAACCATGAACCCTAAAGTACCATAGCACCCTTACAGTTTTAACCCGTATTGCAACCCTACAGATCCCTTAAAGGAACTCCTAAAACCGCGAAACCTGTAGTCATAGTAGAACCTTTACAGATCCTCTGAAGAGAACCTTAAAGGAACCCTTCAAAAGCTCTAACCCCAAGGGTCCATGTACCCAAATAGTATATACTTGGGCCCCAAGGTACCTACGGAGGGTATATACTGTTTTGGTACATGGACCCTTAGGGTAACACAGCCCGAAAAACTGAACCGTAAAACTCCGGCGCGGCGACTTCGACCCTGGAAACCCCCGCCTGCGACCAAAAGCTGCTCAAAGTCTCCTGCGCTGTTTGGAATTAAGGGGGGTTTAGGGTTGGGGGCTTAGAGTTCAGGGTTTAGGGCTTCAGGGTTTAGGATTTAGGGTTTTGGGTTATAGTAAACCCCCAAAGCATGGAAATCGGATTAAGGACAGTTAGTGCTGGCCCTATACATGACTCTGAAGGATTGAGGCTATTGGGTCTCTTGGGCTTCTACTGTAAAGGTTCCCAAACGGTCTTAAGTACCTATATGCGGGATACTTACCCGACGCATTAGTGTTATTCCTACTAGCCATAGAAACCCTACTTCCCGGAGATCCCAATACCCCTTAATTATGAAGGAATATAACTTAAATCATAATATGAAAGCTTCCCAGAGGTCCCAATATCCCTGAATTAAGGAATATAATTTAGATCATAATATGAAAGTCTCTGTAATTGAAGGTATATTCCTTAATTGAAGGATATTGGGCTCTCTGGGTTTCAAGCATATAGCAGGTACATAGGATCCTTTGGGGTTGATGGCTTGGAACTGAGCTTCAGGCTTTTAAGATGCTTTGGGGTTTCTACGTGGATTCCTTTAACGGGATCTATAGGGATTCTGTAAGGGTTTAGGGTTTAGGGGACTTAGTAACTGGGTTATATTCGGGACTTATAAGTACCATAACCCCAATTAGGGTCCCTTTTAGGGTACTTATAAGTCTACTTACCCTAAGGGTCCATGTACTCATAGAGTATATACATTGGCCCTAATGTAGTCCCTATATAGGTACTTTGGGGCCCATGTATCTCTATATGGGTACATGGACCCTTAGGGTTACTAACTACTTACTAAGTCCCCCGACCCCCCAAGTAGCTTAGGGTTTGCAGGTTCGGGTTCCGTTTTAGGGGTGTTACGGTTCATGATAGAAATCCTGCATGACCCATGATAAGGAGTATACCATAATTCCCACAGCTTAGGGTCCTTAAGGTGATAAAGAATATATATACATATATATATATATATATATATATATCATCAACCGTATCAGTGCTGTATGCGCGTATTATAAGACGGTTTGGCGAGGTTTACAGGACCAGAATCCTTAGACCAGTCTAGGTACTTAAAGGGTCATGGGACTTAGTACCTAGGGTTATTTTGGGGGGTAACTATACTTATAAGTACATATAACCCCAATTAATGTACATATAACCCTACTTACTAAGTCCCATGATCCTCCAAGTATGACTGCAACAGGATTTTGGGGGTACTTGTTGCTGCATTTTTTGCATTGCAAAAGGTGCACAACCCTCGATCCATCACAAGTCAGAAGCCTGAAGTACGCAAGCTGTGAGCTCAATTTCGCCTTAACAGCGAAACCATAAAGCCTGCGCCCAGGTCGCTAGTTCAGGCCCTGAAGCTCCGCAAGCAGTATATGCTAGACTCCCATACGCCCCAAAGCAGAACACCGTCTTGGAGCAAGTCCCCAGAGATCCCAATACCCCTTAGTTAAGGAATATACCTTAAATCATAATTTAATCATAATAGTAAGGCCCCTGTTGTTTAAGGTATATACCTTAATGGGGTATTGGGTTCTCTGGGTCGTCAACCTGATAAGCCTAGACTCAAAACGAACTAGCAGAGCCCAGAGCTGTAAACTTTTTCAAAGCCTAAAACAAAGTTGAAAAGCCCCCCACAGTAAAATCTAAACCATGAGCCCGAAGCCCGAAGCCCTAAACCATCAAAATTGAAGCCTACCAATTACCCTAGGCCCTATAATAATTTACACTCGACACCTATATATGTACACTGAGAGCAAGAAAGATGCGCCTCGAAAGGCGACGATGGGCCCAAAGCCCTGCACATGCACCTCCATATTGTTCATGTGGGCTCCGGGTTTCATGGGCTTCTACAACCGAGGTCGTCAGACGAAACTCCGAAACATACTGGATCGCGAGACCTTCAACAATACACCGCGAGCTGTAGACACCCTACAATCCTGGCAATCAAAACACTAAGATTCATAGAGTAAACAGCTCAACCCTCTAATCTATGTAAGCCTTGAACATCTTTCAAACATCAAGCCTCGGACACTAAACGCTGCAAGTCAAACAAACTATCAGCCAAAACATGCAAAATTCTAAATCCTGGAGTCTGGTTGCCTGCATGAGTTCGGGGCCCTCTCTCGGCAGCGGCGTTCTGGGCACCAAGGTAGTCGGCCCTGTCGCGAGCAGCTGCATCTGTTTTCACAGCCCCTCAACCCTGGCACCGAACCCTAACCTCCAAACCCAAACTCCAGGCTCTAACCCAGAGAACCCAATGCGCCTTAATTGAGGATTATACCCTTCAATTATAGGGGCCTTATTATCAGGATTTAAGGTCTATTCCTTAATTCAGGGGTATTGGGATCTCTTTGAAACCCCAAGGCCTACACCCGCAAACCCTAAACTCCGAACTC